TTATTTTGTTGTTGATGAGTTTCTTCAGCTCTTTATAGATACTGGATATTAACCCTTCATCAGTTGTGTGGTTTGCAAATTTTTTTTTCTCATTCTGTTGGTTGTTTCTTCATTTTGCTGAGTGTTTCTTTTAAGTGAAGAAGTTTCTCAGCTTGATGTAATGCCATTTGTCAGTTTTGATTTTGATTGCCTGTGCTTCTGGGGTCTTTTCCAAGAAGTCTTTCCTTATACCAATGTCTTGCAGAGTTTCCCCCAATGTTCTCTAGTAATTTGATGATATCAGGTTGTAGATTTTTGTCTTTGATCCACTTTGAGTTGATTTTTGTGTAAGGTGTAAGCTAAGAGTCTAGTTTCATACTTCTGCCCGCAGAGATCCAGTTTTCCCAGCACCATTTGTTGAGGAGACTGTGCTTGCTCCAGGGATTGATTTTAGCTCCTGTGTCAAAAATAAATTGGGTAGGGACCAGTGCCGTGGCTTACTTGGTTAATCCTCCGCCTTCGGCGTCGGCATCCCATATGGGCGCCAGGTTCTAGTCCCAGTTGCTTCTCTTCCAGTCCAGCTCTCTGCTGTGGCCCGGGGAGGGCAGTGGAGGATGGCCCAGGTGCTTAGGCCCCTGCACCAGCATGGGAGACCAGGAGGAGGAGCCTGGCTCCTGGCTTCGGATTGGCGTAGAGCCTGCCATAGCAGCCATTTGGGGAGTGAACCAATGGAAGGAAGACCTTTCTCTGTGTCTCTCTCTCACTGTCTATAACTTTACCTATCAAATTAAAAAAATAATAATAAATTGGGTATAGATGTGTGGATTGATTTATGGAGTTTTTGTTCTGTTCCATTGATATACAGATCTGTTTTTGTGCCAGTACCAGGCTGCTTTGATTATAACTGCCCTGTATTATGTCTTGAAATCTGGTATTGTGATGCTTCCTGGTTTGTTTTGTTGTATAAAATTGTTTTATGGGACCGGCACTGGGGCAGAGTGGGCTAAATCTATGTGTGTGGTGCTGGCATCCCATATGGGCACTGGTTCATATCCCAGCTGCTCCTCTTCCAATCCAGCTCTTGCTATGGCCTGGGAAAGCAGTGGAAGACGGCCCCACCTGCATGGGATACCCAGAGGAAACTTCTGACTCCTGGCTTTAGATCAGCCCAGCTCCAGCCATTGTGGCCATTTGGGGAGCAAACCAGCAGCTAGAAGACCTTTCTTTCTGTCTTTCCCTCTGTCTGTAACTCTACCTCTAAAATAAGTAAATAAGTCTTTTTTGCGTTTTTGCTTTAGCTATTCAGGGTCTCTTGTGTTTCCATATGAATTTCAGCATCATTTTTTTCTAGATCAGAGAAGAATGTCAGTGGTAGTTTGATGGAGATCACATTGAATCTGTAAATTGCTTTTGGTAGTATGTACATTTTGATGATATTGACTCTCCCAATCCATGAACATGGAAGATTTTTCCAATTTTTATCTTCTTCTATTTCTTTAATGTTTTATAATTTTCATTACAGAGATCTTTGACATCCTTGGTTAAATTTATTCCAAGGTATTAAATTTTTTTGTAGCTATTATGAATGGGATTGATCTTAAAAGTTCTTTCTTAGCCTTTGCATTGTCTGTGTATATTGATTTTTGTGTGTTAATTTTTATATTCTGCCACTTTACCAAATTCTTTTATGAGTTCCAATAGCCTATCAGTGGAGTCTTGGTTGCTTTTGAGTAATCGTCAATCTTTTGAATTCCATTTTGGCATTTCATCAATGTCTTCATCTTCACATTCTAATATTGAAATGCTGTTGTTCTTTTGGGGGAATCATGTTGTCTTCCTTATTTTTGTTTCTTGAATTTATGCGTTTGTCCAGATATTTGTTGTTTTTTTTCTCGGATGGCTTTTGTCTTTGAACTATGCCTCTGTGTCTTAGTGGAATGTCTGGAATGTCTGCACTTTCATTGAATACCCAGAGGTGTGTGCTGGGTGCGGCCAGGGAACTCTGGTCAGTGCTCCAGGGTGACACCTAAGATGGATGTGGTAGATTTCTTCCTGAAAACAGAAGAGGGGGAATGGTCACCTGTGTTGGTGTGGTCACACCCTCACCTCCTCTCATCTAAGGTGGTCAGTGCCCATGTGTTAGCTCCCAGTGGGGCAACACTCATCCATACTACCATGTGAATTGCACAAATGATCCACACAGTCTTCACTCTGAGCACAAGATCCCACTGCAGTGACCCATCCCAGGCAACCAACGAGCTCTGAGAGTGTGGAGCTGCCACTTTGATTGCCCAGAGACCTAGCTACACCCTGTACCCTCTCATGCTACCACAGAGTCCCCACAGTCTCAGCACACAAGTTTCCCACAGCCACTGGGTTCAGAGTATCCACTTCGCCCCACCAGCCTGTCTGGTCCACAGAGAGGCAGATGATCCCCAGTCTAGCTATGTGTGGGTACTCTGCCTAGGTGGCTTGAGCCCTGAAGCCTGTGGTATGTTGGGAGGCTGGGGTACCTCACAGTCTTACCTGGGTGCCCAGCCTCCTGTCAGTTCTTCCAGCCATGCTCAAAGTCAGTGGGTACTGTGGATTTTTCCCTCTGTTAGAGTCTCTGGATCACACGCATACACAAGAGCCACTGGCTGAATGTTGCCCTCTACCTGCCACTTCTGCCAGTATTGCTGAGAAGATGGTGTCCTGTCTCAGCCAGTTGCTGAGCATGCACAAAAAGTGCTTCTGCAACTGCCGCTTTTGCCCAAAATGGCTCCTGCTCGCTCTCAGCTGGGCGCCAGGTGCCATTGTGGGGAGGATGGGGTGAGAGAAACGTGCACATTTTACTTCTGTTACCGGAGAAATTGCAGGGTTCTTGTCTTCGCGCAAGAAAGAATTCAGGCGTGAGACAGAGAGCAGTGGAAGGTAAAATAGCAAGGTTTATTAGGGAAGGGACACCTCTCCAGACAGGACCTGAGAGACTGGGGGGGGGTGGGTAGGAGCGAGGTTACATGGTTGAGTAGAGAGATTACACCTGACCAGGCCAGGTGGGCGGCTCAGCAGAGAGGTAGAGGGCTGAGTGCACAGTCCAGTTGAGGCGGGGTGGCGGGGTAGGGGTGGGGGGTTAAGGAGATGGGTCTTGCTTCCCCACCTCTGTTCCCCTTGGAACAAAGGGCTTTTTGGATGTAAATAGAAGAACTTCTATCTGAATTTTCTCTTGAAGGTCTGAAACAAAGGACTTTATGGATGCAAATGTTTTCAGACCGAGGAAGGGAGCAGGGTATTTGAGATTCAGATACTGGGCTGCACCTGAGAGATATCAGGTAGAAGGGGTCAGGGCAGGGCAGGATGTGAATACCAGGCTGCCCCTGAAACACCATCAGGATGACTTTGAGATGCAGCACATGCTGGACATAGATGTCTTCTCTTTAGGCCTTTATGTCACACACACATAAGCTCATAACTGACTTCCTACCTAACACTTACACTGTATCCGTCTGTGGGTAACCGCTAGCCTCTAGGGCTCCAGGCCGCCCTCACCACACTCTCCATCTGGCTATATGGCCACGGGTTGCTGCAGTCTGATCTCACCTCCGTCTCCAAGCTGGCACCCTCTCTGGCTGTCAGCTGCTGCAGTCGTGTGCTGTGTCCATGTTCATGGTGCACGTCCGCACCTTCCACACAGGTCCAGGTCCATGGTGTTCCTCTTCCTTCCATAGAATTTCCATTGTGGTTGTTCTCTCTAACTCTGCCCTGAGAGTGCACTTCCTACACTTATTCTTGTTTGTTTGTTTGTTTTTTAACCATTTATCCCTAGCCTAGTGCAGTTTGTTGTTCCCTAATCTGCCATCTTGGAATCCACAAAATCATACTTATTAACACATCCATCACCTCATGTAGTATCATTTTCTTTTCTTTGTCTTGTGTGTGTGCATTGAGAACACCTGAGCTCTAGCCTATGAACACCTTTCAAGTGGACAATACAGCATTGTTAACCATAGTGATGTTTCATCTTGAGTAACTGAAGTGTTTTACCCTGTATTAGTCAGCTTTGTCCCTGCAGCTGAAATACCTGAGGGAAGCTTTGGGGCTGGCAACATGGCATAGTGGGCTAATCCTTTCTGCCTTGTGGCACCGGCATCCCATGTGGGCGCTGATTCTGGACCTGGCTGCCCCTTTTCCAATCCAGCTCTCTGCTGTATCCTGGGAAATCAGTAGAAGGTGGTCCAAGTGCTTGGGCCCTTGCACCCGCATGGGAGACTGGGAAGAAGCACCTGGCTTCTGGCTTCAGATTGGTGCAAGTCCAGCCATTTCAGCCATCTGGGGAGTGAACCAATGGAAGGAAGACCTCTCTTGTCTCCCTCTCGCTGTCTGTAACTCTACCTCTAAAATCTTTAAAAAAAAAAAAAAAAGGAAGAAGATTTATTTGGATGTTCACAATCTAGAATCACATATCCCTGTGAGTGTGGTGTGTGCTGAGCATGGTGAGTGGTGGAACATGTTTGGAGGGAGGATCACATGGCAAGCCAAGAAGCAGAGAGGTAGGCAACACACTCATCACCCTTATAAAGCCACTGTGATTTGATCACACACATTAAAATTGAACAGAGCTAAACATTCAGTTCCTCAGTTGCATTAACTGTATTGTAAGTGCTCAGTAGCCAGATGTGCCTCCTACTGCATTGGACAGCACATACGTAGAACATTCTAGAGATTGAGACCAGGAGTGATTTTTCCATCAAAATTACCTACATGAAGTCAGTACAGCATGGAAAGAGTGATACTCTGGTTGGAAGATGTGATCCTCTGCTCTCCTCACTACTAACAACCACACATGGGCCCTCATTTCTCAGCTCCAGTTCTTGGAAAACATGGAGATGGTAGTCCGGCCCTTCCTGCTTTGTGGGTGCTTATGGGAATGAAAGTTTAAATGGTAACACACTTTACAGAAGCTGAGGCAGCCTTCCCTCTCACAAATATTACTCTTTAAAAGTTGATTAATATGTTTTTCTATGTTTTGTTTGCTTCTATAGATTGCTGACAGAACTGGAATCTCCTTCCTGGTGGCCCTTTAGCCCCAAGCTTTGGAAGATGCCATCAGAATCAAAGCCCAGGGAAGATGCCTCAGTGGCCAGTTTTGAACCTTTTGGAAAAGAAGGGCTTCTGATTACAATTCCCGCTATTATTTCTGAAACAACAGGGTCTCAAGCTAAGCCAGGAAGGCTCACCATCCTAATTTCTGGATTGGAAATCCATGACTCCAATTCTTTGCTCCTGCACCGATTTGCAAGAGAAGACATAGATGACATTAAGGTTCACTCACCTTATGAAATCAGCATACGGCAGCGGTTCATTGGGAAGCCAGATGTGGCTTATCGTGTGATATCTGCCAAAATGCCAAAAGCCATCCCCATTCTAGAAGTGCAGTTCAGCAAGAAGATTGAGTTGTTGGAAGACACCTCAGAGCTCAGAAGCACAGGAGTGTCTTTCCCCACAGAGAAGAGCTGCTCTGTGTGGCACACAGGTGGGTGACTAGCAAGGCAAGTGTGTGCCCCAACTTCTGGAGGAACCTGGCTTCTGGCTTCGGATCGGTGCAGTGCACTGGCCGCAGCACACCAGCCATAGCGGCCATTGGGGGATGAACCAACAGGAAAGGGAGACCTTTCCCTCTGTCTCTCTCTCTCACTGTCTAACTCTGCCTGTCAAAAAAAATTTAATTTAATTTAAAAATCCCAAGTTCAAACCACTGAGTGGTGTTCAGCTGCTGTCACAGTCTCTGAAGCAGATATGGTAGTGCGGTTGACAAAAAATAAATGTTTCTAAAAAAGACAAGGAAAGAAATGCTAAGTTCATAAAATACCTTATTTCATAATATTAGCACTGTAGCTAATTCCTTAGTATCTGCAGGAGACTGGCTCCAGGACCCCTGTGAGTGGCAAGACCCACAGGTGTTCAGTTCCTAATAAGAACCGTGTTGTTTGTACATAGCCTGTGCATATCCTCCTGCATGTATGAGCTCATCCCTGAGTTACTCATAACACCCAGTGCAACGTGCCTGCTTCTGAAAGTAGTTATCCTATATTGGTTAAGGACTAATGACAAGGAGGAAAAGCCTTACATGTTTAGTACGGATGAAATTTCTTTTCTGAAAATTTTCCATCTGTGCTTTGAAGGAGCTGCAGAAATGGAGATTGACTATGTGAGGGTAGTTCCAAAAGTTTGTGGAAAATAGAATGAAAACTAAGTTTATTTTGGTGCAGAAGAAAACCTTTGAAATCCATACATATGAATGGTCTTTAAAAAGTTCATAGGAAAATGCATATCATGAAGAGTTATGCATACACTTCAAAATTTGTCCCAAAATAGACTTTCCATTTTCTACTGCCATTTTCCACTAACTTTTTTATAGCATATAAACAAGTAATGTTCTTTCCTTATAACTTTGATTGCCACATCTCTATTGAGAGATATTTATTACTACTCTGGTTTCTTTATTTCCTCTTAAGTGACTGATTTCAGTTCCAATAACCTCTTTCCCTGACACATAAATGTTTTGATTCTTTTCTAGATGTCTTCAAGTTCCATTAAAAATATATACCTGATAATAGATCTGGTCCCGTAACTACCAAAATGTTGGAAATACTGATTTGAAAATGTATTTTCTTGGCATTTCTATGTTTCTGCTCAGCCTCTTCAATCAGGGCAGGTTCAGAAGGGGCCCAGAAGGGCTGGCAGTGTTTAGTCCTGACCACTCTGGCCTGGAGCCAGGGCCCTGAGTCCTGTGAAAATGCCCAACGCTGCTGGGTTCCTCCTGGAACAGGACAAGTACAAGGACTGCGGGGAAGGCACAGGATAGTGCCAGTCATGCCGTTCCCTGGCTGACCCAGTGGGGCCAGACTTGTGGAATATGCCATGACACAACTGCTCTCAGCCCTTGAGGGTGGAGCTCATGGGTGGATCTCAGAAGAATCTCCCAGGTAAAGGTGTACATCAGGGAAGGGGACTACAGAGACCTGGACACAAAGGTAAAGGATGAGACACTGACATGTAATGTAGCATCCCACGTTGAAAATGACAGGGTCAAAGGAAACCATACCTACTGTCATGGAGTGATGTGTACTGGTCCCAGTGTCCTTTGTGAGACGAGTCTGCAGGGACCAGCAAGAGTAGGTTTGCCCTGGTGGAGTGAGGAGAGCTAGAGGTGGCACAGGCCTGGTGACTCCAGGGAGGGAGTTTGACATCCTGGGGGGGGGGGGGGGGGGTGACTGTCCTGTGGAGTGAGGAGAACTAGAGGTGGCACAGGCCTGGGTGACCCCAGGGAAATGTATGACATGCTGGGGCGTGTGGGGTGTGTGTGTGTGACTGTCCTGTGGAGTGAGGAGAACTAGAGGTGGCACAGGCCTGGGTGACTCCAGGGAAATGTGTGACATGCTGGGGCGTGGGGGGTGTGTGTGTGACTGTCCTGTGGAGTGAGGAGAACTAGAGGTGGCACAGGCCTGGGTGACTCCAGGGAGGGGCTGTGATGTTCTGGGGAAGGATACTGCATTTTTGTGGTCTCAGCCCTTGGCAGAGCAGGAAATAGTGTATTGTAAGAAGCAGTTTCAGGGCACATATGTGTGGCATGATCTTGGCTGGCAGTTCCCAGTTCTCATGCCTCACTCTGTATGGCTACATGGAGAAAGCTATGTTGTACTGCAAGGCCCTTCTTCTGGTTGCTTGGGCCGTCCAGCTAATGGAGGGCCACCCCAGTGCCTTCTGGCCCCCTGACTGTGATAACCTTTGTCCTCTTAGACATTGTCATAGCGAGCCTCACAGCAGCACCCAGAGAAGGACTTGAGTCGCTAGACTCTAGCTCGGCGGAGGGACCATCACTGGGCTCCACTGTATGTGTTTGGATGCATCAAGGTTGGTGTGGTGCTGGAAGACACAGGGGTTTAATCTAGGTGTTAACTTTCACTTCCCTGTGGGACTCCTGGATTGTCAGGTGCGGAGACAGGATGAGTGTGCCTTGGGGCTGGTGGCTCTGCAGAGGTGCAGTCCAGGAAGCCAGGTGGTGACACCGGAGCTTTGGGGAAATTACTCGTGTTGGTGGACATGCTGCCCACATCGCCTTCTTGTTGCCGTTAATATATTGGATGGCAGGATGCCACGCTGTCAGCGGGTGTTTTTACAGCTTTGAGTTGGAAACCGCAGAGGCACTAGAGATGGCGACCATACCTTAGAGGTCGCTGGTGCAGCCTATCCAGGAGGAGCGTAGAGTATGTGCGTGGCCACAGGGGGGCAGTCTTGCAGTGTGGCTGGGCCCATGCCTGTTGCTTTCATACTCCAGAGGCTGAAGCTGAGACTTCAGTAATGCTCAGTGCCGGCAGACGGAGGTGCCGTCCCAGACTGGACCAGGGCTCAGGGTCAGAAAACCTGGGGCAGCTTCCCCTCTGGGAAGAGTAGTTGTGTATTTCTGGTTTTTGCAAAGCATCTTTAAAATAACCTGTTTACTTGAAAATAATTACAGATTTGCAAGAAGAGGCGTAAAGGTAGCACAGGTTGAGTATCCCTTCTCCAGAATGCTCAGGGCCAGAAGTATTTCAGATTTCAGGATTGGTTTTTTTTGGATTTTGGAACATTTGCGTATACCAAATGAGAGTTTTTGGGGATGGGATTCAAGTCCAGACACGAAATTCATTTATGCTTCATATATTTGTGCTTCATCCTTTACACACACAGTCTGAAGGATTTTTATACAAGATTTTAAATAACTTTCTGCATGAAACACAGATTCACAGTGTGGAATTTTCTAATTGTATCATCGTATCTCAGAAACTTTCAGATTTTGGAACATTTAGAATTTTGTTTTTTTTTTTTTTTTTTGATTAGGACTGCTTGGCGTATGCACAGTTCCTGTGTCCCTCTCTCCCCCATCTCCCATACACAGTTTACCTTGTTGCTGATGTAGGATGTGAGTTGGACATGTTGTTTTGGTCAGGAGTCTGCACCATGCACGCTGTCCACTAGAGTCCTGTTTTCTTCGAGGCCCCTGCTCCATCTGATCTCTTTCTTCTGTCCCCAGGGCCTGCGTGGTTCCCTGGGCTCTGATGATTCCTCAGACTCTGCTTGTCCTACCTTGGACAGCCTGTGGGAGACTGGACCATGCATTCCCACAGCTGGTCTGGATGGTGTTCAGAGGCAGGCCATGGGTGAGCCGCCTTCTCTCCCCAGCCTGTCCTGTGCACAGGCCTTCCACTGGGTGCTTGTGTGCTGGTTCCCTCTTTGGTTCCCTCTTTGCTGTGCCACTCCCCTTCTAGAGCCTGGTGGAGACGCCAAACACTGTACTCACCCCTGGCACATGTGCCTGCTCTGACTGCTCCTGATAAGCACAGTGCACTTCTGCATTTTCCCCATGCATCTACCACACCGAGATGGGCCAGGGAGCAGAGGGTACACACACAGATACTCAGTGTCTGGGGTAGTTGAGGCTTTCTGCACAGGGCCACTTGCTGTAGGCATCTCCTGAGGCAGAGGAGTTCTGACCTAAGTGGAATCACTGAGAAGCCCTGGTGGAGCGATCACTGGGGGGCAAGTGGCCGCTGCCCCACATGTTCCTGTTGCCGACAGAGGCTGCAGAGTATGGTTAGAAATCACCCAGCCTTCCCTTCCCCGAGCCTCCCAAAGACTTCTGTGCCCAGCCCTGTGTCATGTGTTTTCCCAGCACGGAAGTGTGTAAGGCATTTTGAAGGGATGGTTGCAGGCTGCCGCATCTGCACTTTCCCCATCCTTGTGCTAGTCTTTCCTCAGGAACGACTGAACAGTTGGGTGTTAGCTTGTGTGTTAGCCTCTCAGGTCCCACAAAGCCCAGGGTGCCTGGGGTGGAAGAGGCACTTCCCCTGGGCCCAGGGCCCAGAGAGGAGATCTGGTCTGTTGCCCAGGCCAGGGCTGGCAGCCTTTCCTGTGAGCCGGCGGGCGGCTCAGGGAGTGCTCTGTGTGCACCGAGGAGGCCCTCGCTGGGGGCTGGCACCCAGCGTCCCCTCTGCCTGTGTGACCTTGCTCAGGGTCCTCCCTGCTGCCTCCTCATTCCTGGAGAGTGCAGTTGGGTCTCATTCCTTCACAGCATGAGCCATTTGTGCTGCTCTTATTTACTGGCGATTATTAATCACTGCGGAGACAAGATGCATCCTGTGCAGAACCACATCGATTCTCCTCGGAGGATGTTTTGAACCTCGAGGACTGAGTCAGCAACTCCATCCTGGAGGTGGCAGAACCTGTGGCTTAGACATATCCCAGCTGATCCTGTGGCTTGGGGAAAACATTCCTGCCTTGATGCATTTGCTGGTAATTAGTAACATCCAGAAAGAAAAAGTCTGTTTCAGCTTTCTGACTGTTTAAGCAAATCCCATGTGTTGAAATTCAAAAAGTGTGTTTCCCTCTACAGTACAGCTTCAGGTGCCCAAATGAAAACCAAGTCACAGTTAGGGCAGCACCGTGGCTTTGCTCCCAGAAGCCTGTGTTGTGGCTGTGGGATCTCCACTCGAGGAGACGCTGACAGAAGCCACCCCAGGCCAGAGCCAGCAAGTCAGCCTGCAGGATGTGTGAGTTCGCAGTCGGAAGGTGGAGAGAAGGACCCTAAGAAGGCACATGGCCCGTGGAAAGCCAGGCTTTGAGACTGCTGCTGCCCAGAGACCCTCGCACCAGGCGTTCATTGGGAGTGCCAGCTGGGGGAGGTGCTCTGGCCTTACCCTGCAGCCTTAAAGAACCCTCTTACTGTTACAGGAGTGGCGATCATACCTTAGTCCCAGCCCATCATCACCCTGTCCTTTGGACTGGTGACAACTAGTGCGAGGCTTTCTTTGTGCTTCCCATTCCATCTTGTATCCTGCTGCCAACCAGGGCAGAAAAGTGCTTTTCAGGAAGGGAAATGGCATCCTGCGGGACCCAGCAGCACCCAGTCACACACCTGGGGAAGTTCTCACAGGCGACAGTCTGCGCGCCCTCATGGCACTTCTGAGGAGGTATCTATAGCACACACAGAATGGACTAAAAAGCAGCAAGGGTGGTGTTTTGTGTGATTCAGGTCAGACACCAGGGTGTACAGAGGTCATGGCACTTTGTGGAGAATGTGCTTGCCAGGGTGGGTGCAGAGCCAAGGAGCCCTCCTTCCAGAGGGTAGGTTCTGCTGTGGCTCTGGTCCCTGTCCCCGTCCCAGCCCAATGAGAATAGTCCTCTGCTCAGCCAGGCACCCTCAGGGAAGGGCACTGGTGACGATGGTCCTAAGAGATTGCAGGGCTGGAGGGGATGTTTGTGTGTGTGCTGGCAGCAGCTGTGTCTTTCCTTTAGAGGAAGGGGTGCCCATCTTAAAGGCTTTGGGGGACTGCTATCTTTAGGCCTAGCAAGAGTTCCCATACACACCTGTGCCTCCCTTCCCTGTTCTGTCTGAGCAGCCCTCGGGCTGCTGTGTTCTCTTCAGCTATGAGCATGTGTGGCATCACCTGCCTGCCTCTCATGGTGCTAAGGAGAGTGCTACTGGAGGAGCTGGGGCTGGGACTGGACCAACGCTGCGTTGTCAGCCCAACACTTCCTGCCTTCTGGACTTGGCTGCTGCTACGGGTCTGAGGTGGCCTGCATATGGGGAAGAATTAAAAACAGGCTATGCCAGGGGTGCAGTTGGAACTACTCTGTAAATAAAAGACAGGTGGCCCTCTGCAGGTGGCAGCCACACAGACCTTTATGGCCATCCGCTCCCTGTCTCGGGTGAGATCACCCCTCCTGCAGGTGTTCAGGGGCAGTGCCCCGTGACCCCCAAACACCTGGCCACAGTGAGGCTCTGACTCAGCCTACCCCAGCCGACGCGTGTGCATGGCTCTGCTCAGCTCAGACGTTTACTATCTCTGTGCCCTCTGGAGCTACAGCACTCTGGCTTAGCTCAGGTACTGCCACGGTCTCCTGGCACTGTGTTTTTATGTTTTTAACATCTCACCAGGTTTCAGTGAGTCTTGATGTCATACTCTGAATCTGCAGTGCTTTCTCTACATTAGTGAATAAAAATGACCAATCTTGAATAGAGGGTCTTTCATCTAAGAGGTAATTACAGAATTAGCCCTGGATGTTCACAGTCTGGCCAGTTCCAGTCACTGAAGGGTGAGAGAGGGACCCAGGGGTGAGGTTGGATGGTGGGCACCCTCCACCCATTTAGCTCAGCAGAGGCTCAGGAATGGGAGGATCTGCAACAAGCATAAGGAAACAGCCTGCCTGGGCACAGAGCTGAGGCAGTCTTTGATAGCGCCCTGGGTAAGGCCCCGAATGCTTGTGTGTGGTTCGTACCTTCCAAAAGATGTGACTGCTGACCTCAGCTTCTCGTTGCAGCTGCTGGGCTGCTGGGCCGTGCTGGGCGCCATGAGCCAGCTGCGGGGGGCCAGGAAGGTACGCCGCTGGAGCTGCAGAGGAGTGCGCCGTTCCTTTCTGAGGAGGAAGCTGAGGAGCTGAGTGAGGTACTGTGTTCTGCTGCGCCAGCACTGCAGCAGGTTCTCGTCCTCCCCTGCCGTGACTCATCTCTGTTCACTTGCACTGGCCTCTTTTCATGTCCACCTGTTTGCCATGCCCCCTGAGCCACAGGAAGGGTGGGAGGAATAGTATGCATTCTGAGTCTGGACCGCGTGGCATGTGGAGACGCACTTACAGGCACACGCAGTTACCTGGTAGCTACTGCTGCCCGTTGTGTTTGTGCATGTGTGTACTATATGTGTGTATGCACATGTAATGTGTTCCATGTTCGGTACATACACGTGTCCTGTTTGTATACAGCATGTGACATGTACAGACTCTGTGTTCATGTGTGTTGTGCATTTGTGCTTGGTGTATACATAGCACATATGCTATGTATGTGCATCCTGGGTGTGTACTGTACATGGGTACATGTGTGCGCTGTGTGTTATATGTGTACATGTGCTGTGCATGCACTGTACATTCCAGGGTGCACTGGGTCACTCAGATCTCCCAGCTGCTCATCACTGGGTTCTGAAGGAAGCTTACCATTTTTGCCTAGGAAGTTGAAATTTGAATGTTTATTGTAAATGCTTTCTATCTGTCTTCTTCTGTTATTGCTGGATACTATAATGGGTTTTTATTTTCTTTTTAAAATAGTTTTTGAGGCCGGCGCCACGGCTCACTAGGCTAATCCTCTGCCTTGCGGCGCTGGCACACCGGGTTCTAGTCCCGGTCGGGGCACCGGATTCTGTCCCGGTTGCCCCTCTTCCAGGCCAGCTCTCTGCTGTGGCCAGGGAGTGCAGTGGAGGATGGCCCAAGTACTTGGGCCTTGCACCCCATGGGAGACCAGGATAAGTACCTGGCTCCTGCCATCGGATCAGCATGGTGCGCCGGCCGCGGCGGCCATTGGAGGGTGAACCAACGGCAAAGGAAGACCTTTCTTTCTGTCTCTCTCTCTCTCACTGTCCACTCTGCCTGTCAAAAAATAATAATAATAATAAAATAAAATAAAAATTAAAAAGTTTTTGAAGCAATACCTAGTCATTCTATCATTTCATCTGTAGATATTTCAGTGTCTATCTTTCAAGGATGAGGACTCTTGTGTATCTTGAATCTCCAAGCCAGCGCTCCTATTACAGCACACGCTGGTCTGTCTGCTCCACCAGGGCCTGTCGCCCATGCCAGCCCCAGGAAAGTGCCTTATAACACACAGCTTCCCTCACTTTTCTTTGTCCCTTGGAATTGATTTGTTGAAAGAGCAGAGTTATTTGCTCTTTGGAGACCGCGTCTGTGAGCAGCCCCAGATCTGGAGTCTCATGGGTGGCACTGTCTGTCCCTCAGGGATGGGTAAGATCATCTGTTTGCCCATCTGTGGATCCTGCTTTTTAAGATCTGCTCTTCTTTCTTGTGTCCAAAGAGGCATAAACGCCTTTGAACTCAGGGCTTTCCTTTTTGGGAAAAAAAAAGTGTTCATCTTTGCCATGGAGTATTTTAAGTGTGCCACTTTTGTCACTTTTTCCTCTGGATCTCTCTCTTAGTCTTTTTTTTTTTTTTTTAAGATTTATTTTATTTATTTCAAAGGCACAGTTACAGAGGGTGGTGGGGAGAGGAGACACACACAGAGAGAATCTTTCATCTGCTAGTTCACTCCCTAAATGATTGCAATGGCCAGAGCTGGGTCAGACTGAAGCCAGGAGCCCAGAGTTTCCTCCGGGTCTCCCACATGAGTGCAGGGATCCAAGCACTTGGACCATCTTCCACTACTTTCCCAGGCCATAGCAGAAAGCTGGATCGGAAGTAGAGCAGCCGGGTCTTGAACCAGTTGCCTATATGGGATGCTGGCACTGCAGATGGCAGCTTTACCTGCTACACCACAGTGCTACCCCCTCTTTTTTTTTTTTTTAAAGATGTATTTATTTGAAGGGCAGAGTTACAAAGAGAGAGAGGTCTTCCATTCGCTGGTTGACTCCCCAAATGGCTGCAGTGGCCAGGGCTGTGTCATGCTGAAGCCAGGAGCCAGGAGCCTCTTCCAGGTCTCCTACATGGGTGCAGGGGTCTATACACTTGAGCCACCTCCACTGTTCTTCCGGTGCATGAGCAGGGAGCTGGATAGAAAGTGGAACAGCTGGAACTCAAACCAGTACCCATATGGAATGCGGGCATTGCAGGTGGAGACTTAGCCTTAGTCCTTTTAGTGTCATGTACAAGCCAGCTTTCTAGCAGTGACCAGCACATTCTGCAGGATGCTGGCCACAATCAATAGAATTTGCTGGGGTTCAGTACATCTCGTGTGTTCAGTGTTTAGAAAACCCCTAGTGCTATCAAGGCAGACATACCCAGAGTTCCCCCCGCCCCGCATTCTTCTGAGAGCCTATAGGAGCATGCAGGCTGTACCCTAATGGCATCTGGGGGTGTCCCCATGTCCATCCTTACACAGGTGTTTGGGGCTGAGACACTCTCTGTGTTCCACAGTTACGTTGAAGTTAAAATAGGAGCTGAGCTCTGGGGTAAAGAGTAGGAACTTTTCCTGTTAATTGCAAAGTTGACCATGTCGTTTGAGAGGTCCTTCTGTTTTCCACACATCCAGTGTCTACCAGCCATTCTGACGCCGTGTGCACTTTGTCTCAAAGCTGGGGACGGATTGGGAGACATCAGGTTGAACAAGCCCAGAGCTGAGGGTAGAATCAGGCTCTCTGGTCATCCTGGGGGTTGCCGTCTTCCCTGGGACAGCAAAGACATGAGCTTCAAGTATTCAGTGACCCGTTGGATGCTGGAAACAGTGGGTACTGTGCACCAGGACCATGGTATTAGGGCCATGGTCAGGGCAGAAGGAAGGGGTCCGCGGTTCAGAGTGACAGGTTTGGGGGGTGGGCAGTGCTCAGGAGGTGCTGCTAGGGTATGGGGGAAGGGCTGTGGACTCATCGATGGAATGACCTAGTTTCACACAAGATTGTCTTTTTGAGGTAGAACACATGTTTCCTATTTAGAGAAGAATTCGTTGCTGTACAGTTGAAGCCCAAGCCTAAGTAGGAACGAGTTAAATTTCTGGGGAAAACAAAAATGCAAGAAACCCTCCTCCATCCAGCTGTGGTTTTTGTTGCAAATGCTATTAAAGCCGTTGCGTCGGGCTGTGTCTTGGTGATTTATGTTGTAGTTGGGGGAGCTGAGGACTGCACAGGGATGGACGTGGGTTGTGGTACCCAACCCCCAAACCGCTGTGGTCAGTGGTCAGTGTTGGCCACATGCTTGGGGAGGCAGAGGGAGGGCCTGGAGGTCATGGGGAGAGCTGACTGGCCTGGGCTTGGCAGAGCCGCTTGACCCGCCTCGATGTCTGTTCCCGCCTCAGAACTGCTACTGCCCTCAGTTTATGGAATCTGTGGACGCCACGTGGTGGATGCAGGGTTTGGAAAGGATAAAACAAAAAGTGGTGTTTGGCTGTTCCCGAAACAGGGCGTTTCGGGTCAGTGTCAAGTTCCCTCACGATCTCCATTTCTCTGCCCTGTCCTGCGACTGGGATTCCCTCATTCTGCTTCCATCTCCCAGGAATGGACCAGATGGAATCCAGGTACAGGTCTGCTCAGTGGGCATGGAGTGTAGGGACTGGCTCCTGTGAACTTCTCAGGGTCTGGCAGCCATGGCAGTGAAAGGAGCCCCTTGTGAGATCTGAAATTTTATGAACAACCGGAAGTGATGTGTTGCAGACAAGATGCAGGTACGTGAAAAAAATGTATTAAACTACCTTCTGGCTCTGTGTATCAAGGTGTATATGAAACACAAATGGACTCTTGGGTCCCACCCCCAAGAGATCTCATTTTGTAAATGCAGATATTCCAAAGTCTTTTTAAAAATCTAAAATCTAAAAATGCTTTTGGTCCTAAGCATATTGGATAAGGTTACCCAACTTATGCTTTTGAAAAATTTCTGTTTTCCTTAGAGGCAGACAGGCAGAGCCCTCATCTGCCTGTTTATTTCTTAAACGCCCACTACAGCTTGGCTGGGCTGAGGCTGAAACCAGGGGCCAAGAACTTAATCCAGGCACAATCCAAACGACTTGAGCCATCACCATGGTGTCTCCAGGTCTGTGTCAGCAGTAGGCAGGAACTGGAAGCCGGAGGCAAGCGTCAGACCCAGATATTCCAGTGTGGGACATGGGACACACTTGCTCCCTCCCCTGCCCCCATGTTATACTTTATGGTGAATGTCCATGATGCCACAGCCTGTGTCTTCTCTGAATATGGAGCTGTAGGAAGAGCCTCATCACGAGGGCAAGCTACCCTTGTTGCTTCTGGCATTCATATATAGTAAGGACTGGGTATCCTGCAAAGAGCCCTAGACAAGGAGCAGGGAGCCACTCCCTGGCCTCAGCCCCACCTCCCCTCTAACGTGGAAGCCCCCATAATACACTGGAAGCTGAATTATGGGAATACACCATGCCTTGCTTCTACTCGGTCCTAATTCTTTCTGGGCCTGATAGTCACAGTGAGTGTACCTTGGATAGATAGACGCCCCAGCTGCGGGAGTGTCCTTCTGCCTGTAGCCACATCAGCAGAGCTCAGGGCCAGGGGCCGTGATGGGAATGTCATGTGGGCAATTCTAGATTCCAGATGCCCATGTACATCAGTTGTCGCCTCCAGGAAGCTGAACACGGAGGGAGCCCAGAAGGAGTCAGTTCAGAGTCTGTGCTGAAAACATGACCTCAGAATGGGCGGGCATCAAATGAGCATCTCTCCCAGAAAATCAGTGCTGGAGGGAGACTTCAGGTTTGGGAGTTACCTGTTTCCTCTGATTATTTTTCTGTCATCCTAGACATCATTTAAATGAAGTTCAAGTCTTAAAACAGTGTTTGATAGTCTTATTGTAAAATTTTTAAACCAATTTTTAACTTAAAAAATATTTATCTGAAATTCAAAGCAACAGAGAAAGAGAGACAGAGAAAGAGATCTTCCATCTGCTGGTTCATTCCCCCAAATAGCTGCCGCAGTGGCTGGTCCACATGGAAGCCAGGAGCCCGAAACACCGTTGGAGTCTTTTGCATAGGTGCAGGGGCCCAAGCACCTGGGCCATCTGCTGCCTTCTCAGGTGCATCAGCAAGTAGCCGGATTGGACGTGGAGCACCTGGGACATGAACCAGTGCTCTGCTATGGGATGCTGGAGTTGCAAGCGGCACTCAACCCACTGTGCCACAATGCCAGCCCCTATTTTTAGATTGTTGAGAAGCATCCACAGTGTTTTATGCAGTGGCTGCACTAATTTGCATTCCCACTAGCCATGTGCAAGGGTTCCCCTTTCTCCACATCCTTTCCAGAATCTTCCTACTGGGAATGTACCCTAAGGACGTGAAGTCAGTCAGTGGAAGAGATGGCTGTACTCACATGTTAACTACAGCAGCCCATCAAGTGGTGAATGAATGAAGAAAATGTGGCTCATATGCTTGACAGAATAGCATTCAACCATAAAAAAAATAGGATAAAATGTTGTCATTTGTGGAATTTTTAAAAGTGAAGCTCATAGTAGTAAGCAGAATTGTGGTTAGTGGAGACTGGAGAGAGTCCAGGAAAGATTGGTTGGTTGGTTGGTTGGTTAGTTAGTTAGACCAGGAAGGATTGGTTAGTTGATACAAAGCCACAGATAGTAGGTAGAGTAAGTTCTGGATTCTGTTCTACAGAAGGTTGATTATAATCAGTAGTATCGCACCATACATTTCAGAATAGCTGGAAGACAGGATTTTGAATGTTCTCATCACAAAGACATGATAAATATTTGAGATGACGGATAACCTCAATGTTCTGAATTGATCACTACACGTTGTATACATGTACCAGACATCACTCTGTGACCCATAGCATGGTTTTTATGTGTCTATTCAAAAACAGATAAACACGGTGCTTGCTCATTTCATTACTGAATACCTGGCTGCATAGTGTAATTTAGTCACACACTGCATGATAACATTGTGGCTGGTGACAGACCACATATACCACTGTGGGACTGTAAGGTTGCATCACCTAGTGATGTCGTAGGCATCTTGACTTGTTGATGTTTGCAGGATGACACAGTCTTAACAACCCTTCTCTCAGAGTGTGTCCCCAGTGTTCAGCAGTACATGACTATATGTGTCTTAAGTAGGACATTTTTCTTTATTAACTTTTTTATGGTAAAATATATTCAAAGAAAAGCCAGCACCGTGGCTCAATAGGCTAATCCTCCTCCTGCGGCACTGGCACACCAGGTTCTAGTCCCAGTCGGGGTGCCGGATTCTGTCCCGGTTGCCCCTCTTCCAGGCCAGCTCTCTGCTGTGGCCCAGGAATGCAGTGGAGGATGGCCCAAGTGCTTGGGCCCTGCACCCCGTGGGAGACCAGGAGAAGCCCCTGGCTCCTGCCTTCGGATCAGCGCAGTGCACCAGCCGCAGCGTGCCGGCTGCGGCAGCCATTGAAGGGTGAACCAATGGCAAAAGGAAGACCTTTCTCTCTGTCTCTCTCTCTCACTGTCCACTCTGCCTGTCAAAAAAAAAAAATATATATATATATATATATATATTCAAAGAATCCCAGAAAACCCACAACTAAACAAAGAAAAACATATATGCATATATGTATTTATAAAATACAGAAATGTTGTCATTTTAACCTTTAAATTTTTTTAAAAAAATTGTACTTGAGGGGCTGGTGCCGTGGTGCACTAGGTTAATCCTCTGTGGCACCAGCATCCCGTATGGGCGCCGATTCTAGTCCCAGCTGCTCCTCTTCCAATCCAGCTCTCTGCTGTGACCTGGGAAGGCAGTGGAGGATGGGCCAAGTGCTTGGGCCCCTGCACCCACGTGGGAGACCAGGAGGAAGCACTTGGCTCTTGGCTTCAGATTGGTGTAGCTCCAGCCATTGCAGCCATTTGGAGGGTGAACCAACGGAAGGAAGATCTTTCTCTCTGTCTCTCTCTCTCACTGTCTGTAACTCTACCTGTCAAATAAATTAAAAAAAAAAAAATTGTACTTGAGAGGTAGAGAGAGACAGAGATAGAGAGCTCACTCCCCCAGTGCCCACAGCAGCTGGGGCTTGGCTGGACAGAAGTCAGGAGCCTGGAACTCCATCTGGGTCTCCAAGGTGGGTGGCAAGGACCTACCTAAGCAACTAAGCGATCACCGGCTACCTCCCAGGATGCCCATAACTTTTTCATTGTCCCAAACTGAAACTCTATACCCATTAGCAGTAACTTCATGTTCCCTCCTTCCTCAGCCCCTGACTGTTGCAGTTCTACTTTCTGTCTCTGTGAACATGCCTGTTCTAGAAACTGTAAGTAGAGTCACACAGTATTTGTCCTTTTGTGTCAGGCATATTTCACTTAGTGCAGTGTTTTGAAGGCTGACCTATATGATGCGTGAGTTGGGATTTCATCCCTGAAGAAATAGCCAATTCTGTGGGTTAATGCTGTGTATCTGTCATTTATTGATGCACAGTTGAATTGTCTCCAACTTTGGGCTGTTGTGAGTAGTGCTGTAATGAACACACCCACAGGTGTCTGTGTGAGTCCTGGTTTACAGTTCTCTGAGGTGTGTACCTGAGAGTGGGTTTGCTGGGTCCTATGGTGATTCTAGGCTTGGCTTTTGGAGGAACTACTCCACGGAGACTGCTCCATTTTATATTCTCCATCATTGCCCAAAGATTCCAGATTTTCCACATCCTCTCATCATGTTTTCCTTTCTAAATTTGTTGTAGCCATCTGGTGAGTGTGAGGTAATACTTCGGTGTGATTTTGATTTGTATTCCCTTGATGACTAGTGATGTTGAACATCTTTTATGTGCTTATTGGCCATTTGTATATCATTTTTGGAGAAATACCTTTTTAAGTCCTTTACTCGTTTATTAATTGGATTGTTTGTCTATTTATTGGCCAGCATTAAATGTTCCATATGTATTCTGGATATTAGACCTTTATCAGATCTATGTCTTGCAAGTATTTTTTCCATTCTGTGGGTTGTCTTTTTAAAAATTTATTTATTTATTTGAGTTCCTGGCTCCCAGTCCTGGCCCTGGCCCATCCACAGCCATTTGAGGAGTGAACAAGTGAGTCAGGGCCAGGACCGGGAGCCAGGAACTCAACCCAGGTCTTCCACCTTGGAGGCAGGGCCTCAGTTATTTGAACCATCACTGCTGCCTCACATGGTTTGCATTAGCAGGAAGCTGGAATCAGGGAATTGAGCTGAAACTGAGAATTGAGCTCATTTACTGTGGTATGAGACATGAGTGTCTTCACTGCTGGGTTGAACTCCCATGCCTATGGGTTATCTTTGAACTTTCTCCTTGCTGTCCTTTGATGCTATTCTGACACCAACCCCAAGTGGTATATTGTCATTCTATTCTGTTCACCAACAGCACTGCTCCCAATTCAGACGCTAGCTGCGAGCAGGTCCCCAGGGTGCTCACCCTTCTGACCAACTGGCTGTAAACCTGAGGGTTTCCACAACTCCTTCCTGACGATTTGTAATTCATTAGAACTCCTCTCAGTCTTCGTAGTTCATTAGAACAGTTCACAAACCTTGGGAAAGCAGTGTGCTTGGGATTATGGCTTTAATAAAAGATACAAATCAGTAACAACCAAATGAAGAGACATGGAGCAAAGCCTGGGAGGCACTATATGTGGAGCCCTCCCTTGAGGATTTGTAGGGTCATCCTCCAGCCAAGTCTGTGTGTCCACCCACCAAGAAGCTCCACTGAGCATGATGGATTAAACTGTTGGCTCCTGGGACTGACCCAGTTGCCAGTCTCACCCCATCTCCTTTCTTTGAGCTACATAACCCGTAGCTCCTACCCTCTAAGTGCTTGGCTGCCCCTTCCTGAAACTATCTTGAGAACCGCCGTGAGTCAGTGTGTTGGCATAAACTCAGGCGTGGTTCCAAGAGCTCGTGAATAGCAGACACTGCTGTTAGATACCTGGGAAATTCCAAAGGTTTAGATTCACCCTCCTAGAAACCAGGGGCAAGGCCAATCAAGTTATTTTCTTAAGATTTATTTTATTCATTTGAAAGGCAGAATTAGAGAGAGGGAGAGACAGAGACACATGTACACATACACACACAGATCTACTACCCACTGGTTCACTCTGCAAATGGCCACAATGGCTGGGGCTGAGTCGGATCTGGGCTGGGCCAGGCAGAATTTTGGAGCTTGGAACTCCATCTGGGTCTTCCACATGGGTGTAGGGGCCCAAGCACTTGAGCTGTCTTCCACTGCTTTCCCAGGCACTTTAGCAGGGAGCTGGATCGGAAATGGAGAAGCTGAGACTCAAACTGATGCTCATTTGGGATGTTGGCATTGCAGATAATGCTTCAACCTGCAGTGCCAAAACAGCAGGCCCCCAAATTCTTTATAATTCAACAGGTGTAAAAGTTTTAAATTATGATGAAGTCTAGTTTATCTAACTTTTTTCCCTTTGGTTTGTGCTTTCAATGTCACACTGAAGAATCCATTTCAGTGTTGTGATAAAGTGGGTTAAGCCACTGCTCACAACACCCACATCCCATATCAAAGGGCCAATTTGAGTTCTGGCTTCTTGTAAATGCACCTGGAAAAGCAGTACATTTAGAATTCTCATCCATTTAAAGATTTAACATTTTTTTGTTTATTTAATTTTATTTGAGAGAGAAACAGATCTCATGTCTGTTGGTTCACACCCCAGCTGCCTGCGATCGCAGAGCTTGGGTCAGGCCAGTGTCCCAACTGATATCTTCACTGCCAGGCCAAACAGCATCCTGTTAATCCATTCCTTAATTTTTGTGCATGAAGTAAACTAAGGTTTCAGTCTGCATTCTTTTGCGTGTCGATATCCAGTTGTCTTCATGCTATTCGGCAAACAGACTGTTCTTTCCTCACTTAGTATTCTTAACCTGTCAAACATCTCTCTGTGGGTTTATTTCTGATCCACTCATTCTGTCCAGTGGTCTGGTGTCACTATTCTGATCACTATCATTTTGTTGTAAATTTTGATATCGAGAAGTGTGTCTTCCAACTTCATTCTTCTTCTTCAAAAGTGTTGTGGCTAGTCTACTTCTATTGTAGTTCCATGTGAATTTGAGAATCAGCTTTTCCATCTCTAAAAACAGTGCTACTGGGCTGGCGTCATGGCATAGTAGGTAAAGCCACTACCTGTGGCGCCAGCATCCTATATAGGCAGCAATTCGAGTCCCTACTGCTCTACTTCCGATCCAGCTCTCTGCTATGGCCTGAGAAAGCAGTGAAAAATGACCCAAGTCCTTGGGTCCCTGCACCCGCATGGGAGACCCTCCTGGCTCCCAGCTTTGGATCGGCATAGCGCCAGCTGTTGCGACCAGTTGGGGAATGAACCAGCAGATGGAAGACCTCTCTCTTGCTCTCTCTGCCTCTCCTTCTCTCTCTGTGTAGCTCTGGCTTTCAAGTAAATAATTAAATCTTCCCACTGACTGTGCTGCTGGCTGTGTGCTTCTCACAAATGCCCTTAATCACGTTACAGGAGTTCCTTCTGTTTATTGTCACCTGTGTGTTTTTGTTATGGAAGCATGTTGAATTTTGGCAGTGTTTTTTCTTTATCTTCCTTTTTTTTAATATTTATTTATTTGAAAGAGTTACAGAGGGGGTGGGGGAGACAGAGATCTTCCATCTGCTGGTTCACAACCCAGATGGCCACAGTGCCTAGGTCTGGGCCAGGCCGAAGCCAGGAGCCAGGAGTTTCATCCAGGTCTCCCACATGGGTGCAGTTGGGCCATCCTCCCCTGTTTTCCCAGGCCATAGCAGGGAGCTGGATTGGAAGTAGAGCATCCCACACGGGATTCTGGCTCCAGCAGTGTGTTTTCTGTAGCAAATCGATCATGTGCATCTCACATGGATTTATTTCACTGTTGTCTTTTTTATTTTTTTATTTTTAAAGATTTTATTTATTTTATTTGAAAGAGTTAACACAGAGAGGAGAGGCAGAGGCAGAGAGAGAGAGAGAGAGAGAGGTCTTCCATCCGATGGTTCACTCCCCACTTGGCCGCAATGGCCGGAGCTGAAGCCAGTAGCCAGGAACTTCCTCCGGGTCTTCTACACAGGTGCAGGGGCCCAAGGATTTGGGCCATCTTCTACGGCTTTCCCAGGCCACAGCAGAGAGCTAGATTGGAAGTGGAGCAGCTGGGTCTTGAACCGGCACCCATATGGGATGCTGGCGCTTCAGGCCAGGGCGTTAACCCCCTGTGCCACAGTGCTGGCCCCTCACTATTGTCTTTTTTTTTTTTTTTTTTTTGACAGAGTGGACAGTGAGAGAGACAGAGAAAGGTCTTCCTTTTGCCGTTGGTTCACCCTCCAATGGCTGGCGGCACGCTGCGGCCAGTGCATCGCGCTGATCCGAAGCCAGGAGCCAGGTGCTTCTCCTGGTCTCCCATGGGGTGCAGGGCCCAAGCACTTGGGCCATCCTCCACTGCACTCCCTGGCCACAGCAGAGAGCTGGCCTGGAAGAGGGGCAACCGGGACAGAATCCAGCACCCGACCAGGACTAGAATCCGGTGTGCCAGCGCCGCAAGGCGGAGGATTAGCCTAGTGAGCCACGGTGCCGGCCATCACTATTGTCTTAATATGTTGTGTTTTCATTTTCATTTATCTCAAAAGTTTTCCTAATTACCCTTCCTTGACTCTTTGGGTGTTTAATTTCCATCTGTTAGTGAATGTCGTAATTTGCCACATTTCTAGTTTCAGTCTGCTTGAGCACATGGAGTCTTGCTGCCCACACCGTCTGTGCTGGAGCAGAGTGGGCATTGTGCTGGCTCTGAATTATGTCTCGTGGGTCCTGTGGGCTCCTGGTGTTCTTCCAGTCCTGTGTTTCCTTACTGATCTCCTCTCTAGATATTCTCTTCATCATGGACATCCTTTTTACTAATTTTAAAGGATGGTTTACAAGTATTATGGTTTTTGGTTCAGAGTGAGAAGTGGGTCCTGAGGTTTGGACATATTGAGTTATCCTAAATGCTTACCAGGGGGGATGTCCAGGGAGACCAGTGACTGCAGGCCCTGACAGTGCCATGGCTGTCCCCTGCTGAGGGGGGAGGGGCCATTACTGCCGCTTAGCTGTGTGATTCATTTCTCCCAGTGGTCCACTTTGTACAGAAGAGGCTTCTGCCCTAGGTCTAAGTGAGAACGAAGAGAGAATGTGGCCTGTGGCAGGGCAAGCAGAGTGTTCAGTGCCTGTAAGCTCTGAATGAAAAAGTGGGCTGGGGCTCTGCTCAGCATTGAGGAGGCCCACTCTGAATGCGTTTCCAGTTTGTTTCCTGATTTGAGGGTACCACTGGGGTGCATAGTCCCACATGTGAGATGGACCTCCAGTGGCACCTGGCTTAAGTAAGTCGGCATTTCGTTTACTGAGGTTTCACCACACTCTTCAACAGTCAGCTTCTTTTCCGATCTGGGGGAAGGGAGTCATATGGATTGTTGGAGTTGCCCTCACTCTCCAGGGCCATTTCCTGGGCCTTGGGAGAGAATGTTCACTTGTCACCAGCAGCCGCCAGCACATGTCGTGCAAGGTTCACAGGTCTCTGAGGACCCAACCCCCAGCCAGCTCCGAGACCCCTCAGAAAAGCACAGTCCTGACCATGGTCAGCTTCGGCCTTGCAGTGTGTGTGTGTGTGTGTGTGTGTGCGTGTGTGGTGGCCCTGAGGATGGAGGGGCCCCTAGGAATGCAGCTGTGGGGAGTGTGGTCTGGGGTGGTCTCTGAGTGCTGAATGTGACAGATCACAGCAGAACGTTCCTTCCAGCCCCTAGGGCTTTGGCTGCAGGGAAAGTCAACTCTCCCCCTTCACCTTCCCCATAGCATATTAATGGCCCCAACTGGTAGAACTATTTGGAGTTGCAGACAGCTTGATTTATCCCAGCTCTATTCTTAAATGGTTGCTAATTTCTCACTGCAAGAATATTCACAGATTCTGGGTGAGTCAGCTTAATAACAGTTCAGGGCAGGCAGCCGAGCTAATGCTAACTCACTGCAGACACTCAGTGCCATGCCGCTGTGCTCCACATCCTGAGGTGCTGCAAAAAGGTACAGCAGACCCTCTTCTTTTCTCAGACTCTAGGCAGAGAGAATAGCCAGTGCACCACGGGAGCGGGGAGCATGTCCTCTGGCTACGGTCACACAGGGCATTTGGGGGTGAGGAGCATGTCCTCCAGGCCATGGTCACACAGGGCGTTTGGGGGTGAGCAGCATGTCCTCCAGGCCATGGTCACACAGAGCGTTTGGGGGTGAGGAGCGTGTTCTCCGGGCCACTGTCACACGGGGCGTTTGGGGGTGAGGAGCGTGTCCTCCGGGCCACTGTCACACGGGGCGTTTGGGGGTGAGGAGCGTGTTCTCCGGGCCACTGTCACACGGGGCGTTTGGGGGTGAGGAGCGTGTTCTCCGGGCCACTGTCACACGGGGCGTTTGGGGGTGAGGAGCGTGTTCTCCGGGCCACTGTCACACGGGGCGTTTGGGGGTGAGGAGCGTGTTCTCCGGGCCACTGTCACACGGGGCGTTTGGGGGTGAGGAGCGTGTCCTCCGGGCCATGGTCACACAGGGCGTTTGGGGGTGAGGAGCGTGTTCTCCGGGCCACTGTCACACGGGGCGTTTGGGGGTGAGGAGCGTGTCCTCCGGACCATGGTCACACAGGGCGTTTGGGGGTGAGGAGCGTGTTCTCCGGGCCACTGTCACACGGGGCGTTGGGGGTGAGGAGCGTGTCCTCCGGGCCATGGTCACACGGGGCGCTTGGGGGTGAGGAGCGTGTCCTCCAGGCCACGGTCACACGGGGCGTTTGGGGGTGAGGAGTGTGTCCTCCAGGCCATGGTCACACAGGGCGTTTGGGGGTGAGGAGCGTGTCCTCCGGGCCATGGTCACACAGGGCGTTTGGGGGTGAGGAGCATGTCCTCCGGGCCATGGTCACACGGGGCGCTTGGGGGTGAGGAGCGTGTCCTCCAGGCCACGGTCACACGGGGCGTTTGGGGGTGAGGAGCGTGTCCTCCGGGCCACTGTCACACGGGGCGTTTGGGGGTGAGGAGCGTGTCCTCCGGGCCATGGTCACACAGGGCGTTTGGGGGTGAGGAGCGTGTTCTCCGGGCCACTGTCACACAGGGCGTTTGGGGGTGAGGAGCGTGTCCTCCGGGCCATGGTCACACGGGGCGTTTGGGGGTGAGGAGCGTGTCCTCCGGGCCATGGTCACACGGGGCGTTTGGGAGTGAGGAGCGTGTCCTCCGGGCCATGGTCACACGGGGCATTTGGGGGTGAGGAGCGTGTCCTCTGGGCCACGGTCACACAGGGCGTTTGGGGGTGAGGAGCGTGTCCTCCGGGCCATGGTCACACAGGGTGTTTGGGGGTGAGGAGTGCGTCTTCCGGGCCATGGTCACACAGGGCATTTGGGGGTGAGGAGCGTGTCCTCCGGGCCATGGTCACACAGGGTGTTTGGGGGTGAGGAGCGTGTCCTCCGGGCCATGGTCACACAGGGTGTTTGGGGGTGAGGAGTGCGTCTTCCGGGCCACAGTCATGTGGGGCAGACACTGGTGGGCTCAGGCTGCTGGTGCCTGGCCTTGCCCCTTGGTGGTATCTACAAGTAAGCATATCAAGCATATCTCTTTTGGTGAGGACACACATTCTACCTCACTAAACTGCTTTTCCATACTTATTTTCTGTCTTTATAAACCAAATGGACATGGTGAGAAGGGAAAGCTCTCTGTTCCTGTGGCTCCCCTGACATATCATTGCTGTCAGTCCAGATGGTCTTGATGGTGCTCATCCTGGGTCTCAGGAGCTCTGTGAGGATGGAGGCTGTTGTAAGTTCTTCCTTAGAGAAGCAGGGCCCAAAGAATTCCTCACAATCACCATTGAGGAAAGTAGGCTCGATGCTCCCCTGGGAACTGTGACCATCACCCCGTCTCTCTGGCTCCCCTATAGAGCTGTCCCAGTTGTACCTCTGCTGTCTGCGTGAGTCACCCAGCCTGCTTCCTTCCCAGCCACTGACAGAAGGCACTGCTCACTGCTTGGCACTGCTTGGGCATCCGTGACCACTGTGAGCTGAACACCTAAGGTCTCACTCACTCTTCCTCTCCTGGACCACACTCACCTGTGTGTTTACGTCTTGCCCATCCTAATGTAGACCAAAAATCTTTTTGGAGTTTATAAACCACTGTTTCTCCTTAAACTCAAAGCACTATTTTAGATCATTTCTATGGAAGTAAAATTGTGACTGGTTACTAGGTTTATTTATTAGTGTAATGATGGCTTGGGGATGAGTCCGTTTTGAGTTCTGTCTTTGACTCAGAGCCCAGTGAGGGCTCCCAGAGAGGCCCCTTGATATTTCAGAAGTTGGCGACTTTGTGCATTGATGACTAGACAGCTTGTCATCCTGGGCCACAGAAGGAACAACTGTTTTTAAGGTTTGGCCAGACTTCATATTCTCCATTCTTTCCATCCCCTGTTATATGGAATGTACACGATGCCATTTAATTACTTCAGTCCCTCACTTAAAGGAAAAATAATCTGGACTGTATTCCAGAAGTACCAGTAGTCTGAAGGTTAACTCGGTGATTTTCTTTGTCTGCAGACCAAGTGGCTGTAAAGATCTCACTTGCATGTTTGCAGTGTTAGTTGCAAGTACTGTTTTGGCAGGCAGGCAAAGTCTCAACAGGCTGTTTGCATTGAGGTCTATTTATAAGGCTTTCCAATTGGTGAGACTTTCTCTACATCAAGAAGTTGAACAAGAACCAGCCATTATTTTGAGTATGTACACAATCAAATGCCCAAACTCTGTTGTCAGAGCTGCCAGTCTGTGCCAAAGATGATTATTTGTATGTGTTACTACTGTGCATGTCAGGCAAGGATCCAGGAATATAGAGATCCTTGATTTAGCCACTGTTTCACTGTGGTCTGGGAAAAGGCAGTTCCCTCGGCTTTTTGAGGGTGTTGGTGATAGAAATGTAGGAGCCTAGAGGCTGTGGTGGAGATGGCTTTGTGGACAGCCTATGTGGGACAAGGCTAGTGGGGTGCCGTGGTTCTCCTCCACACCTGAACCGTGGGTTGTCCAAGTTCTCGTGTGCCATAAGTGTGGCGTTCACACTGGCTTTCAGGGTCTTCATAGTAAAAATAACACAGTGTGTCACCAATGGTATTTTATGTTGTTGCCATGATAAGGTGATGATATTTTGAACATAATTGGGTTAAGTACCAAAGTGAACTCCTCTGTCATTTTCTATGCAATCAGTGTGTGTGTGTTTGAGATTTTTAAATTGTTTCTTGGCTTTCCTTTTAGTGGGGTCTTGCCTCAGCCACTCAAGGACTGTGAGAGATAGCACAGGTCCAGGTCCCAGCCCGCTGTGGGCCCATTTGCCATTTTGCAAGAGATGTGTCCTGGTGCTAAGACTGAGGCATTTACAGCAGGCCTGCATGATCAGTGCATGGTTTGCCATGGGGGTATCCAGTCCTGTCTCTGTCTCTGCCAGGAGGCGGCTCAACTCTTAGTGAATGGAAGCCAGGCATTCCTGTAGGGGGCTGGGTTGCACAGCCTGCCTGGGTCTCTTTTTTGAAACAGAGTTAAAATGTGTGAAGTTCTTAAAGCAATGTTCGGTACACTTCAGGGATCCCATAATTCTTAGCTTTTATTTAGGGCACCCTAGCTAGAGGTTGGAAAAAAAAACAGAAACAAAAGTATATTTATTCCCAAGTGAGAGTATGTGGATATAGGGATAGGAAAAGATATTACTGATACAAGCTGACTATCTCTTATCCAAAATGGTTGGAACCAGAAGTGTTAGGATTTCAGATATTTTTGGATTTTGAAATATTTGCATACATGTAATCAGATGTCTTACATGAAATTCACGTATGTCTCACATGCAGTGTAAAGGCAATTTATTCATTATTTCTAAAGCACCTGCACTGTGACCCATCACAGGGGTTCATGGGTGGGCTTTGTGTATGACATCACGTTGGTGCTCACGAAATTTCAGATTTTGGATCATTTTGGAATTCAGATTTTCAGATGAGGGATGTACTACCTGTGCTGCTAATCTGGCAAAGAATGATATGGATTATGGATAACTTTAACTGTCTTCATGACTTCTCTCTCTGTTTCTCATCTTCTTTGTGCAGTATTCTTACCAGAACAGAGCCAGGACTAACTGTGACCTGTGCTGCAGGGAGCAGCTAGCTTCAGAGAGAGCAGGTTCTCTGTGTTGCTGCATTAGAAGTATTCACACCCTAAACTCTGACAGGAATGTCAGGCTGCAGTATGGTCACATCCCATGCCCCCGCTCTCAGCTCATGTGCCAAGAGGTCATTGTGTATAATGTGGAGCCTTGTGGTCCCAAAAACACTTTAAATACAGTCACATATCACTTAAACATGGGACAGGTTCTGAGAACATGGGACAGGTTCTGAGAAGTCAGTCAGCAGGCAGTTTCGTCTTTGTGCAAACATTAGACAGTGCACTTCCACAAACCAGGACGGCTCTGTCACTGGCGATGTAATCTGATGGGACCACCACTGGTGACCTGAATGTCATTATGTGGCACATTGATGTAAACTTGAATTGCATTTTTTTGTGATTGACAGAACACAGAGTTTGCATAGGAGAGCCACTAGGGGTGTGTGTGGCCTACGCATGTGACACCAGGAGGCCTCCCCAGGGGACATCGTGGAATGTGGGGTTGGGTGGCAAAGGTTATTTCTTCATGCCAAGTCCTGGTGGAAGGACCTTCTTGTTAGAGTGGAGGCAGATGAGAGAGGATTAGTCAACCAGGGAAAATGGCAGGGAAGAACCTGCCTGCCATGGTGGTGAGCTGTGATTTGTTTTTCTTTTTCATTATGCTGTTTGGGCATCAGCCATATGAGATCATAGGAACAGGAGATGGAAAAGACCTACTGTATGAGGTCATCCGGCCATCCCCCCAGGGCTGCTGACCCCACAGTCGAGTTTCCAGCACTCCGGCCAGTTTCTAAGTAATGACTCAACTGATGGAGTTTCCACCATGTCCCAGAGGGAGCAGGAAGGCTGCTGTCTGAGACTGCCGGCTGGAATCAGGATGTGTTCATGTCTCAGGATGCAGATCACAAAACAGACACCTTGTGTAGAAGGAGGGATGGGCTCACAGCACGGACACCGTGTGTGGGAGGAGAGATGGGCTCACAGCATAGACGCCATGTGTGGAAGGAGAGATGGGCTCACAGCACAGATGCCGTGTGTGGGAGGAGAGATGGGCTCACAGCATAGATGCCATGTGTGGAAGGAGAGATGGGCTCACAGCAGGGACACCATGTGTGGAAGGAGGAATGGGCTCACAGCACAGACGCCGTGTGTGGGAGGAGAGATGGGCTCACAGCATAGATGCCATGTGTGGAAGGAGAGATGGGCTCACAGCAGGGACACCATGTGTGGAAGGAGGAACGGGCTCACAGCACAGACGCCGTGTGTGGGAGGAGAGATGGGCTCACAGCATAGATGCCATGTGTGGAAGGAGAGATGGGCTCACAGCAGGGACACCATGTGTGGAAGGAGGAATGGGCTCACAGCACAGACGCCGTGTGTGGGAGGAGAGATGGGCTCACAGCATAGACGCCATGTGTGGAAGGAGAGATGGGCTCACAGCAGGGACACCATGTGTGGAAGGAGGAATGGGCTCACAGCACAGACGCCGTGTGTGGGAGGAGAGATGGGCTCACAGCATAGACGCCGTGTATGGAAGGAGAGATGGGCTCACAGCACAGACGCTGTGTGTGGGAGGAGAGATGGGCTCACAGCACAGACGCTGTGTGTGGGAGGAGAGATGGGCTCACAGAATGGACGCCGTGTATGGAAGGAGAGATGGGCTCACAGAATGGACGCCGTGTATGGAAGGAGAGATGGGCTCACAGGTGGATGCCGTATGACAAAGGGGAGATGGGCTCACAGCATAGACGCCGAGTGTGGAAGGGGAGATGGGCTCACAGCACAGACGCCATGTGTGGGAGGAGAGGTGGGCTCACAGCACAGACGCCATGTGTGGGAGGAGAGGTGGGCTCACAGCACAGACGCCGTGTGTGGAAGGAGAGATGGGCTCACAGCACGGACACCGTGTGTGGAAGGGGAGATGGGCTCACAGAATGGACGCCGTGTGTGGAAGGAGAGATGGGCTCACAGAATGGACGCCGTGTATGGAAGGAGAGATGGGCTCACAGGTGGATGCCGTATGACAAAGGGGAGATGGGCTCACAGCATAGACGCCGAGTGTGGAAGGGGAGATGGGCTCACAGCACAGACGCCGAGTGTGGGAGGAGAGGTGGGCTCACAGCACAGACACCGTATGTGGAAGGAGGGATGGGCTCATCCTACCTCAGTTATGGACTTGCTGTGTGACCTCAGCTCCTCCACTCCTACTCTGTCTGCAGAGAGGGCCTGGCAGCCTCCCTGCAGAATCTGCTTCACCACGTGCCTCCTCATTCAAATGGATGTAAGTTGCCACCTATGGAGAAGTTGGATTTTTCTTTGCTGGCCACCCCTACCTTGGCTCTTTTACTCACTGGTCAGGTACAAAGCACATGGCCAGGCCAAGACTGTCAGTGAGGCCTTCCTTGAGTCCAGATTCTGGGTTCCTGATGTTCAACTGTGTGGTTGCAGCTGGGGCCCCTTCCCTAGGCATCTGTGTAGCAAAGTTTACAAAGTTGCAGCTTTTTTTTTTTTCCCCACAGGCAGAGTTAGACAGTAAGAGAGAGACAGAAAGGTCTTCCTTCTGTTGGTTCACCCCCAAAATGGCCGCTACAGCCAGCGTGCTGTGCTGATCCAAACCCAGGAGCCAGGTGCTTCCTCCTGGTCTCCCATGGGGTGCAGGGCCCAAGCACTTGGGCCATCCTCCACTGCCTTCCCGGGCCACAGCAGAGAGCTGGCCTGGAAGAGGAGCAACTGGGACAGAATCCGGCGCCCCAACTGGGACTAGAACCTGGGGTGCCAGCGCCGCAGGTGGAGGATTAGCCAAGTGAGCCACGGCACCGGCCAAAATTGCAGCTTTTGTGGGTATTATATAATCATATTCAGTTAATGAAACAACAGTTATTTCCTATAAGCGGCATCAGAAACAATTGAGGATGAAACTGCCATCCCCATGTGTAGCTGATTTGTGCTGGGCACCAACAGGAACTTGCTTTACTTTCCATGCCAGCTTACAGCCCCATACTGTGCTGGGAAGGGGCTGAGGCTGCTGGAAACACCCACAGACAGGGCTGTCTGAAGACACATCCCCTCATGTGTTAGCTACAAAACCAGACTCTGCACAGCTGGAAACAAATCTTACAGACTTACCTTTCCATTTTTTTCTTAAAAGGAGTTGCTTAAAGGGGTCAAATGCATTTTACAGGAAACAATCCTGTCTTAGACCCAACTTATTTATCATCATCTTCCTCCTCCTCCTCCTCTTTTCCTCCTTTTTCTGGTGTTGCAGCCTTGTCGACTCCTTTTCTCACTGCATCAGCTCCTGGCGCAGCCACCTTCCTCCCACATCTTTCCTGCAGCAGCAGCCTTGTCTTCCCAAGGCTCCTGTCACCTGCCCAGCTTTGCTCGTCCACGCTGCTTTCAGCGTCTTGGCAAGATCACGCATTGCATCAGCCAGAACAGTCTCTTCTGATGCTCAGAACAGATCTGTGAACTTCTGTTTTGTTTCCCCTTTAGGAAGGACACAGGTTCTCATTTGAATTTCATCAGGATCCTTGTCTGCTTCTGCCAGGTCTTCGAGTTTTCCTTTCCCTATAGCAGATGTGGTCTCCCAGCTCTGAATTCTTAGAGTACTCTGTGTGCCTGTGGCACTGCTGGCGTGTTTGCATAAAGAACACGCAGGATGACATCTGCCTGTGAGCTTCTTGGGATCTCCTTTGTCCATGTTCAGTTTCTCTCTTGCACTGACACTGCCTTTGTGGTGCTCAATCTGCTGCAGCCGCTGTGGGAACAGGAGCCAGGTGCAGCCTCCTCACACTTCATTCTGTACTGTTCCTTCTCATGGTCCTTGCCTGTGATCTGAAACTTTCCCCAGAGGAGGGTGTGAAAGTGCATCACAAGTGGTTGTTCTTGACTGTTCCTCTGCGCTGTCTCCCTGCAAGCACTGAGAGTTTAAACCCAGCCCTGTGGGTAGGTGGAGTGAGATCCATATGTGGTGGTCTCCACAGAATTGCAGTTAACTGAGACCACATGAAGCGGGCATGAGTCCTGTGGCCACAGCAGGGCTACCCTGTGGCTGCACCCCCAGTGGCTCTGTGGCATTTCCTGGGCACCCCACATCTTCTAGCTAGCCCGAGTCCTCCCTGCCGGGACCTGGACTGCTCAGGGCTCTTGGTGCCTGTGCCTGGTACTTTGTGTACAGTGCTGCTTGGGGTTAGGTTGTGCCCCTGCCCTCGTATTGGATCAGTTATGCAGTGTTAACAACAGGGACAGGTTCTGAGAGCTGCATCATTAAGCAGTTTTGTCAATGCAGAAACACCATGGAGTGTACTTAGCAAACCTGAGTGGTATAGGTCACTCACTCGATGTGGGAGATGGAGAAAACGCAGCTTGTAGGGCCATGATGTAGCAGGTAAAGCCACCTGCGGTGTCATCCCATACTTTGCTGTTTCAAGTCCTGGCTGCTTTTGATCCAGCTCCCTGCTAATGCACCTGGGAAAGCAACAAAAGATGGCCTAAGTGCTTGGGCCTCGTACCCACATGGGAGATCCATAAGAAGCTCCTGGCTCCTGGCTTCAGATCACCCTAGCTCTGGTCATTATGGCCATTTGGGTAGTGAACCAGCAGATGGAAGACCTCCATGTCTCTCTCTCTCTCTCTCTTTCTCTCTCTCTCTCTGTTTCTGCCTCTCTAACTCTGCGTTTCAAATAAAAATAAACAAATCTTTAAAAAAGAAAATGTAACACCTCTGTGCTACACTGACTTTCAGAAGTAGCGTACACTCCAACAATAAAAGTGTAGTACAGAAAATAAACATGAAAATTACTTACTATCACAACCAAGTGTCATGTACCATGCATAATTGTGTGTGTTTACATGACTGGCATAGCAGTGAGTGTGTGCATACCGTGTCACCACACATGCATGAGGAATGCACTACATGGTGGTGCTACAGTGTCACACAGCTAGGAAGTCACTAGATGGACAGGAACTTCCATAACCATTACAATGGTCTGGGACCCTGGTTGTATATGTGTACTGACCACAACGGCACTGTGCAGCTGAAGACTGTGTTTGTTTTGTTCTGCCATTTGTTTATGTATGACACCTTTCACATATAGACACAGAGAGGGTTTTGCTCTTTTCAAGCTTGTTTGTCCCACCTCCATCTGCAGTTAGGCACCTGGGTGCTGACAGGTAAGCAGATTGGCACCTGGGCATCAGACCAGTGTCCCGTCAACATGTGCATGAGGCCCTCGTCCATGTGCAGCACTGTCAGGCTGTCATCGGACACGATGAGATGCCCGGGGTGCCCTCATTGTGTGCTGGTGGCTAGCAGGCAGTGGTATCCCATAGGTGGCCAAGATACAGCAGAGAAGAGGCCAGACCCAAGTGTTTAGTTATGAGGGCCCTGTCCATCAAATCACAGAAAACTACCTCATCATCTGTGTGCATTTCTGAGAATTCACAGAAAAAAAAGCAGCCTCTGCTGTCACTTATGCTTCTCCCCCAGGTCCTGAGGAAGCTGAAAGGGCTCGCCCTGGATGCTGAGGCAGAGCTAGAGCGGCAGGATGAGGCCCTGGACGGCATCACTGCAGCTGTGGACCGGGCAACCTTGACCGTGGACAAGCATAACCGGCGTATAAGGAAGCTGACCTAGGAGAGTGTGGAGTGCAGAGGTGCCCGCTGCTGATGGGTGTCTCTCCTCTGGGTCTGCCGTTCCCTTCTGATGAGGCCTGGGGTTGGGGAGCTTCACTGCAACCTTGCCCAGGGGGTCACTCTTTGGGATGAGGGCTGTACTCCAGCACCTGTTGCCAAGGAGGGAGCCACTTTACACATGGGGCCTCCTGGGCACTCATGAGCACATGGTCTTCAGCATGCCTGCCATAGTATGACTGTCTCTCCCATCACATGCAAGACGCCAGCTCAGTGTCACCATGCATGGCCTTGGCCTAAGCTGTCCAGCATGAAATTTGTTGCATTTTCTTTATGCAATTTGTTAAAATGATTTATTTATTGATTTGAGAGGCAGAGTTACAGAGAGAGGCAGAGACAGAGAGAGAGGTCTTCCATCCACTGGTTCACTCCCCAACTGGCCCCAGTGGCCAGAGCTGGGCTGATTTGAAGGCAAAAGCCAGGAGTTTCTTCTGGGTCTCCCACATGAGTGCAGGAGCCCAAGCTCTTGGGCCACCTTCTGCTGCTTTCCCAGGCCATCAGCAAGGAGCTGGATCGGAAGTGGAGCAGCTGGAACTCTAACAGGCACACACATGAGATGCTGGTGGTGCAGGCAGAGGCCTAGCCCACTACACCACAGTGCTGGCTCCTTGCAGTTTTTGTTAAGCATGGAGGGGCTCTCTGCCCATGTAAGTGCTGCAGGCAGATTCTGTTAATGGTGAAGGGGAGCGAATCCCTTCTCAGGGCCACGTCCTCCTGCCTTCCCTGCTGTGGGCTGTTCCAACAGATCCAGAGAAGACAGCCCCCACTGCTTTTATCCGATTTCAGGTTTTCCCTGTAGGACAGGCAAGTTTTCTTTACAGGTAGCTTGTGAATTTTTGATAAGCATACCTGCAGGGCCTTCATAAACATCTGGCACGTTCTAACACTGCTTTAGTGTTTTACACAAAAATGAAACAGTATGATTGTATGCTTAAGAGAGTGTTGATTTCTGCTTTCAGTGTCTCCATTTCTATCCAGAAACAGAAGGAAAACAATAGTTTCAGACATTTTTTTTAAATGCCATGTGCTGTTTCTTTTTGCTTCATATAATGTGTTTCATGAGAGGGACGCCAGGAGAGGCCAAGGGTGCTCAGCCCTTCTAGGTGTGAGCAGGAGGCGGTGTGGGCTCAGGAAAGGGCATGTTCCCTAAAATGGTCTATCCTTTGTAGGGTTGTAGAGTACAGAAACCTGGCGGGTGATGGGGGAGGGCAGGGCCTCTGTGCACACAGAGCTGAGGCTACTGCTCTCTTGGGGGTCTCCTCTGCACAGGCTTCCCTCACTGTCCTAGCCTTACTTTGCCATCATGGATGTGATGCCAGGAGGGAGGGAGTCACCTCTGACCCGTCTTACCCTTGCTTGGAGGTGCAGGGGCCGATGCCCTGAATGCAGAATTGACATGGCAGCTGTTGGCCCCTCCAGCAGCTACAAGCCAAAGCAGCCCCCACGTGGGTGTCCCTCCAATGAGGACAGGCCAGAGCCATGTAAATACTTTTCATGAAGTTGTCTGGGCCATGGGCTGTGTTTTCCAGTAGAAGGGACACTTGGAAGTGGTTTGTGTACAGATATGCTAACTATTAGAAGATCCACACTGGGGCATTAGGAACTGGAGCCTTGAGATGCTCCACTTGGGAATGCAGATGTGTTCAGGAGAGGGAGGACAGAGGCAGGGGCTTCCTGTGGGAGGCAGTCACTGAGACAGGCCTCAGAGTATAAGGGTCAGGCACAGAGGCCACAGCAAGAAGCCCTTGAGGGATCCTGAGGCTGCACTGTGGGGAGTGGGCAGCACTTGAGGAAGCCTGGGAGTACTCCAGCCCATTCCTAGTGAAAGAAGCAGCAGGTTGCCTGTTGGTGGAGCACTCCTGCTGTGCTCCAGTGTGCCCAGTTGTCCTGGTGCTCTGACAGCTTCTCCCTCTGTATCCTGGCTCACCATGTGATCCTCCCTCCATCTACACTCTACCTGCCATCCTCTGGCTTCACCAGATGACTGAACTACAGAGACCTGCGTGACCTTGGACTGTGAAACTTTCTTCCATAAGCAGTTGTGTGAGGAATTTCACTACAGGACGAAGAGCTGACTCACAAAGGCAGAGCAGCGGGAGCTCTCGGTTCCTTGCTGGTGGCAATACAGAATGAAACAGTCACTTTGGAAGACAGCTTGACAATTTCTCACTATACATCCAGCAGGCATGCTTGTTGATATTTACCCAAATGAATTGAAAACTTATGTCCACACAAAAACCTGAGCACAAGCGTTGACAGCAACATTCTCATAGTAGCCCAGACTTGGAGGCAACCAGGATGTCCTTTTGTAGGGCAATGGAAAAACTGTGGTACATCCAGGCAATGGATATCATTCCACCGTAAAAAAAAAAAAAAAAAAAAAAAAAAAGAGTTATTAAGTCATGGAAATGCTTAGAGGAAACTGAAATGCACGTTGCCGGGTGAAAGAAGCCAACCTGAAAAGGCTGCGTACTGTATGATTCTGACCATAGACATTCTGGAAAAGGCAAAGCTATGGGTACTTAAAAGACCAACACTTACCAGGGGTTGGGGATAGGAAAGAGGGGATGAACAGGCAGAGCACAGAGGATATAACTCTTTTTGACCCCATGACAATTATGATGGTGGGTACAGTTACTGTACACGTGTCCAAACCCACAGAATGTAAAGCACCTGGTGTGGTCCTTATGTAAACAATGGGCTCTGGGTGATAATTTGCCAATGTAGGGGATTTTTATGTTGAAAGAGGCAGGTTGGGGGGGCAGAGGGTATATGTAAACTGTGTCTTTCACTTAAGTTTTCCGTAAACCTAAAACTTTAAGAAAGAAAAGAAAGGGGACCAGGGTTGTGATGCAGAGGGTTGCACAACCTATGATGCCAGCACCCTATATCAAAGCGCTGAGTCGTGGCTGCTCCACTTCTGATCCAGCTTCCTGCTGATGAGCTTGGACCCCTGCACCCATGTGGGAGATCAGGATGAAGCTCCTGGCTCCTCGCTTTGACCTGTCCTGGTTCTGGCTCTCGCTTCCATTCAGGGAGTGAACCAGTGGCTGAAGGATCTCTCTCTTTTTGTCTGTCTCTCTCACTCTGCCTTTCAAATAAATAAAGTAAATCTGTTTTGTTTTGTTTTGTTTTGTTTTTCAAAAAGTCAGGGAAGAAAGGAAGACAGGGAGACAGTGACTAGCTCCAAGCATTATCAAAACCCAGCATAGCAAAGCAAATTCCATTTGGTTTCTTGGTCTGAATATAATCAGGCCTCTGTGATGCAAGGCTTTGCCTCCTGGATACACGGCTCCACCACTGGAGTCAGTATTCCTTTTTTCCTTAGTCTGCAGCCCAGTGGCTCCAGCAGCCCGTGTTCCACAACCCCTTTTCACTGTGTTCTGTCTAACTTTCAGCATAAACTGATGATGGTACAGCATTGTCAGAAACCTGTGGCTCTCCTGTGTAAGCCACAAGTATCAATGCCATTAGATAAGAGGATCCTCCACAGATCTTCCTGGAAAAACCTGGCTTGATTCCTGGCTTCTGTTTTTGTTTTTTAGAGATTGAATTATTTGAAAGTCAGAATTTCACAGAGAGGTAAGGAGAGGCAGAGAGAGAGAGGTATTCCATCCTCCGCTGTTTCACTCCCCAATTGGCCTCAACAGCCAGAGCTGCAATGATCCAAAGCCAGGAACCAGGAGTTTCCTCCAGGTCTTCCCATGTGGGTGCAGGGGCCCAAGGACTTGGGCCATCTTGTACTGCCTTCCCAGGCCATTAGCGGAGAGCTGGATCAGAAGTGGAGCAGCTGGGACTCGAACCGGAACCCATATGGGATGCTGGCACTGCAGGCAACGGCTTTACCCACTACACCACAGCACTGGCTCCGATTCCTGGCTTCTGTTGAGATGATTGAGTGTGCCTTGTCTCCTTGGCAGGCCACCATCCAGCCACACTCTGCCCTCTTCAGGGCACACTTTCCTAACAGGGAGCTCCTAGTTTATCATCTTGTGCTACCCGGCCAGGCTGAGACTTCCCCAGATCACCAGATATGCTCTTTCTCTCTCTCTCATGTGTGTGTCCTTTGCTTAATTCCATCCTCAATTTTATCCCTTTCCTTTTGCATTTTTTTGCATTTTACTATAAGCAGCAAAGAAAATCCAGACAACACCAGAAATGTCTTCAAGTTTGTGGCTTATGAGTTCTGCTTTCCACCCAACAGTAGATCACAGTTCACCCGAGTTCTCTGCCACTCTATCAAATTCCCTCCAGTTTCCAATCACATGTTTCTCACTTCCTTCTGAGCCCTCACTGGAATAATCTTTAATGTCTGTATTTCTACCAGTGTTCATTCAAGGCAGTCTGGGCTTCATCTGTCTGGTGCCTCAACAATTTTCCAGCTTATACACATTCCTCGATTCTAATTGGTTACAGCAGCACTCTACTTTCTGGTAACAGTTTGTATTGTTTCCTGGGGCTGCTATATATATATATATATATATTTTTTTTTTTTTTTTGACAGGCAGAGTGGACAGTGAGAGAGAGAGACAGAGAGAAAGGTCTTCCTTTGCCGTTGGTTCACCCTTCAACGGCTGCCGCGGCTGGCGCGCTGCGGCCGGTGCACCGCGCTGATCTGATGGCAGGAGCCAGGTACTTATCCTGGTCTCCCGTGGGGTGCAGGGCCCAAGTACTTGGGCCATCCTCCACTGCACTCCCTGGCCACAGCAGAGAGCTGGCCTGGAAGAGGGGCAACCGGGACAGAATCCAGCGCCCCGACCGGGACTAGAACCTGGTGTGCCGGCGCTGCAGGCAGAGGATTAGCCTAGTGAGCCGCGGCACCGGCTTGGGGCTGCTATAACAAAGTACCACAAACTGCAAGGCTTGAAATAACAGATTTATGCTCACAATTCCAAGCCCAGAGTTTAAACCAAGATGTTGGCAGGGCTGCATCCTCATCTGGCACATCTGGATTTCTTCCAGGCTCATCCAGTTGCTGACACAACTCCACTCCTTGAAGTAGTAGGTCCAAGGATCCCAGCTCCTTTGTGGCTATCAGTGAGGCCTGCTCTGGGAGGCCACCACATTCTTTTTCCTCTGTCTTCACACCAGCAGCAGCACAGATCCTCCTGAAGCTACAAATCTCAGACTTCTCTTCAGCAACCAGCTGGAGAACACTCTGCCTTTCTTTCATATTTTTACAAGCCAGCTTTATTGTCAATACTCCATGCTTTGGTTGTTTGCTTATTTAATTGACTGATTTTGGCTTTGGTCTATAATACAGCATTGGCTGAACCCATCCATTAATAATAAGGTAGATGGTTGTGGCTTCACCCAGCACATGTAGCTGGTAGAGCCGTCACCTATGGTGCTGGCATCCCATATGGGCGCCTGTTCGAGTCCCAGCTGCTCCACTTCCATTCCAGCTCTCTGCTATGGCCTGGGAAAGCAGTAGAAGATGGCCCAAATCCTTGGGCCCTTGCACCCACATGGGAAACCCAGAGGGAACTCCTGGATTCTGGGTTTGGATGGGCGCATCTCCAGCCTTTGCGATCAATTGGTGAGTGAACCAGTGGATGGAAGACCTCTCTCTGCCTCTCCTCTCTCTCTTTATAACTCTGACTTTCAAATACATAAAAAAAACTTTTTTAAAAAATAAAAACTATATCAAAAGACACCAATAAACAACTTGAAAAACAAAAATCTAGTTTGAATTTTAAAAATTTTGGTTTCAAATGGATTGTCTGGACTGTGTAGCAGTTAAAATTAACCAGGAACCATAAGTATCAACACTGATACATCTTAAAAACATACTGTAGAATGAAAAGAAGGCACAGGCAAGCTGACAGTATACATTGTTAGAGTGAATGTGTGTGGTGTCAAGTATGAAATCATGCAACTCCAGGACACGGTTATGGCAGAGCAAAGACAGGAATACACAGGGGACATAACTGCAGCTATAGGGTTTTATTTCCCGAGTAGAATTGGAAGCATGTATGGCAAGATTAGGCATGATGGAACATGACTGTTCTTTGTCATTTTCTCTTTTTGTATGTTTGAACTATTTCATAATTTTCTTTTGAATTCAAGGAAAGATAGGAGGAGGAGGATGGCTGGACAAGATGAAAGAAAGGCACGGAATGTATGTTGGCTTGAGTACATATCCTTTCTGAAAGACATAGATCCTCCTTGAATACAATTAATCCCAGCAAACACTTCATGCCTTGAAAACAGACCACAAAATGAAGTCCGAGAACTGCAAAGACTACTAACTGTGGTCTGCTCAGGCCCACCAACTTGCTCATCCCACTCCCCCTTTATTTTTAAGATTTATTTCTCTCAAAGGCAGAGTTACAGAGAAAGAAGGAGATACATCTTCCATCTGTTGGTTCATTCCCCAGATGCCTGCAACAGCCAGGACTGGGCCAGACCAAAGCCAGTAGCCAGGAGCTTCCTGCAGGTCTCCCATGTGGATGCAGGGGCCCAAGCACTGGGGCCATCCTCTACTGCTCTCCCAGGCAGGCTATAAGCAGAGAGCTGGATCAGAAGAGGTGCAGCTGGGACTCAAACTGGCATCCATATGGGATGCAGCCTTACCCACTACACCACAGTGCAGGGCCCCGTACTCACCCCTTCTTAGGGAGAGGTCAGCTCATCTTGGACTGGGAATCTGGGAGTGTCATAGAATCTGCCCTGCTCTCTATCTAGGGAGAGGTCAGCTCATCTTGGACTGGGAATCTGGGGGTGTCATAGAATCTGCCCTGCTCTCTATCTTTATCTAGGAAGTCGTGGTCTGGCCCTCACCTCTCATTTTGAATTTCAGGAACCCAACATCCCTTTGGCACTTTGTCTTGTCTCTGTACATTTCAGCCTAAGCTGGCACTGTTCTGCTGAATACAACATTCTCAAAACCTGGTAGGTCTCCTGCGTGGGTCAGGCTTCATCCCTCAGCACCAGTTCTGCTGCGCTGCCTGCAATGCTCAGAAAGTCACCTCCTGTCTGTGTTCCTGCATCTGAAACGTGTGTGTGAGTGATGCAGCTCAGACCAGGGGTCACTCCTGTGGATGCCTTTCTGCAGATCCCCTCCCACCAGCAGTGTCATCTGTGGCGCATGTGCCACACCTGCCCCGTCTGCCCCTTTCTGATGGCTGTAGAGGCTGAAGGGAATATGCTGAACCCCCTCAAGGTCACTCCTGGCCCAGGAGCTTCTCGGAGCTGGCAGTCTTGGAGGTGTCCCTCCTTCTCCATCTCCGTGTGTTTGAGGGAGAGTAGCCCTTGCTGTCCTCCAGCCTGACCAGCACTCTGTCGCCGCCACGGGTGCCTCCAGCTGTGAGCTCCCTGGCAGGGTGAGTGCAGGGTGGTGGCCAGGCCACGAACTCAGTAGGCCAGGGAGCTGTGGCCAGCAGCCACACACGTCCCAGAGATGGGAGGGCTTCTTCCTCTGCTTCATTCCAAGGAAGGAGGCTGGGTGGATTTGTTCCACAGGCACCACGTGTTTTTAATTTAATGGTTTATATTGTGGTGCCTCGTGCTTACCGCAGTGAAGTCAGTGACAGAGACAGGGTGCATGGGGGCTGGTCTGAGAGGGGACTTAATACATTGCTCACTGGTCATAGGTGTGCCTTGCTTGATGGGCTCAGAAGTCCCAGGAGAGATGGAGACCCCCTGAGGGGCGGGACCTCAGTCTGTCTGTGCCCCTCCCCCCGCGCTGGGATGCCTCAGATTTGCACGTTCTGGAGCTAGAGGGTTGAGGCGCCTGCCAACGATGTCCTCTGCTTTGGCGGCGAACTGAATACGGGGGCTCAAAGCTGCGCTTTTGCACGGTTCACCACAAGGGCCCTGGCCGCTGAGCTCACGTTCCCTGGCCCTGGGGCTCCAGAGTCCCCTGGAGGGGAGAGAGGACGCCCTGGGCCCAGAATGCGGGGAGCTGGGGGAGCAATGTGCTGCACACACGGGCTTCCAGAAGGTTCCGTGGGGCAAGGCATGAAGCTGTAGCCTGTTGACTCCACAGTATCTGGGTTGGGGAGCAATGAGGATGGAGCAGGGATTCCTTGAACACAGCCTGCTTTGTCACAACAGTCGCTCTGATAGCCAAGCAGGACAGGGGGACCCCCCGCGGGGGCGGGTGGGGGGGATGGGCGGGCAGACTGGGCAGCTGGAGGTTAATGCACCACCCAGAGTGGCTTCTGACTTAGAACCTGAGAACCCTTTGTCCCTGGGAGCCTGGGTGAGGGGGCCTGGGTGGCTGAGGTTTTCGGCCGACACCCGCGCCGAGGCGTCACCAGGGCCGGGCAGGCGCGCGTGTCCGGTCCCCGGGGCGAGGGGGGTGTGCTGACCATGACCACACTGCAGGCTCTCCAGAAAGCATGACGCGCACTCTAGGCCGCCTCGGAGCGCAGCCTGGACAAACAAGTGATCACCCTACAGGCTCCGAAGAAGCGCCTGCTCGGACACACGGATGCCGCTGCCTCCGCCGCCGCCGCAGCCGCCGCCGCCTCCCAGCTTCCTCTCTCCACGAGGTCCTCAGTCCCTTAAGAACCAGGCCCCTCCCCTCCGGCGCCGCTGGCCGCAGGGTGCGCGCGGCGTGGGGCGGAGCGCAGGGCGGGGCAGCCGGGACCTTGGCCTCGGACCTCACACGGGGGCCGGGCGCCGCGGCAGGGCCCGGGTCACAGAGCTACTGGCAGACCTGGGCGGGCGTAGGCGGGGCAGGCTTCGGTGGCCGTGGGCGGGTAGAGGCGAGACTCAGGTGCGGACCTGAGCGGCGGGCTTTGCCTGGGTAGAGGGATCCAGCGGCGACAAGGGCTTCCAGGCCGAGGAGGAGAGGTTAGGGTTACCTGTGAGGAGAAGGGATGAATATGCTGATCCATGGCCCAGGGCTTGTGGGCGCGGGCGGGAGAGCTGTGCTCAGGTGTCGAGGGAGGGGCCCCAGCGGAGGCCTAGCCTGTGCTAAGAGTCGGGGAAGCCCAGTGGGGGCAGGGAATGACCAATTGGTGCTCCACGAAATGGTCTGGAATGTCTCTGAGGCGGTCCTGGTACATCCAGGGCAGCAACCCACGCAAGCGGGTTTTATGGCCCCAAGGGAGAGTCCAGGAGGGGGCAGGGCACCCCCGGCCCTCGCAGGAGCAGCAGCCACTCACCTGGGGACAGATCCCGCACCAACGGGCGCCTCCCGTCAGCCAGGTGTTCCTGATGAGGGGCCTTCAGCCGAGTGGACCCTCCGCAAGGAGTCAAGTAGGAGTTCTGGGACCCTGCACCTTCAATTCCTGTGGGGCCGGCCCAGGGGCCTCGCTTCCTGGTATGGGTGCAGGTCATTCTTGGTTCCAAGGAGACTCAGTGGCATCTTCCATTCCCAGCTGTGTTGTGGGGTGCCTCCCTCAGCCAGCCTGGTCCCCAGGGCCGTGTGGGTGCTGGGGTCCTGAACTGGCTTATGATTCCCAGCAGCTGCTCCTTGCCAGGTGAGTGTGTGTGGTGTGACTCGGGGCCAGCAGGCAACAGAACCAACCTGCCCAAGACTGGGTCCCACTTGTGTCCCCTTAACCTCTATGAGTAGGGTGCTAATGTCCTGCTGGGGCGTAGAGAGGGGGCAGGCAGGGTGGGAGTCCAGGCATGCATGGGTGCAGGGTCCTCATTCTTCCTGGTGGGGCCTCCTGCTCCAGGGACCAGTTAGTCTGCCAGGATCTCACCTGAGCTGGGGATCTCTCCTTGCTAGGACCCCGTATGACCCAGAGAAGCTGGATCTTGAGGAGCTGGGGGCTGGGAGGAGTCTCCTGGCATCCCTTAGAGCTCTGCTGTGCTGGGATCAGGCGCTCTTTTGCACTCAGAGACAGAGACAAGCAGCCCCTACTCCTACCAAGGCCAGAACCCAAGCCAGCAGTCCCAGAACAAGTCATGTGGGGAAGAAGGCTGGAAGCCACATCCCTGCTCCACTTCCCAGGAGACCCCACCCTGGGGCCCCCTCCTGGGGGCTCACATGTGGGATGAGGGGGCCAGGATCAGGTTTCCTTATTTGCCTGACAAGTTCACTTAGCAGAGCAGGGCCTGAGTCCCGCTGTAATCAGAACCAGCTGTGCCGTGTGCTGGGGCGTGGGGAATGCCTCTGCAGGAACACATGACTTCCCCAGGGAAAGTCTGCTGTGACTCTTCACCCTGCAGTCAGGGACACAGGCCCAGCACACACAGCAGCAGCAACAGAACCCATTCAGGGCCCTCCCCTAGGGACACCACTGTGGCGGGACCAGCGTGGCCCAGGAGGACTCTGCCTGCCTGTGTCCCACTGTCTTCAACAAGGCCTGAGCTGGGGACTCCTCAGTCAACAGTGAGGGGTCAGGAGGAGACCAGGGAGTCCCAGTCCTGAGCTGTGGCCATGGTGGGGCTTCACACAGTGAGAGTGACTCAGGCCCAGCAGCGTAGGCTGTTTGTGGAAACTCTCACCGCGGTGGCACAGAGAACTCAACTCCAGGAGCCACTTTGTGCACCTGCAGTGGAGGATCCAGGCACATCCAGGTCACCTGATGGACTCCCACCACGGCTGCATTGGCACTGCCATCTTGAAATCTGTCTCCTTCTGCCCCAGCACCCTATGGCTTAGAACAGTGCCCCATGTCTTCATGACCCTGTGACTGGCTGGAGGAGGATCAGCTGGGGCTGGACACCAGGGCACCCTCACACACAGAAGAAGGAGTGGGCTGAGCATCTGTGTGTTTGGTGAGGGCTGGGTAAGGACCCTTTAGAAGTCAGCTTGGCTTCTGGTTGGGCTGAGAGTCCATGGGAGGGGCTAGGGCTGGGTCACAGCAGGGTGAGAGGGAGACTGAGGCTGCGCTGGGAGCTGGGGATGACTCGGATCTGGAGGAGGAACCAGGTATGACAAGGCAGGAATGACTCTGGAGACAGCAGCTTGGTCAAACACCTGTGCTCCAGTCCCGGGGACGCAGGAGGGCGATGGATCAAGAAGTCCTCACTGACCCTCTGACCTCTTCCTGTGTCTGCGCATCCTCCCATTGTGCTGCTTCTAACAGCACCAGGCTGGTGAGAGCTTCATTTCTCCCACTCTCTTTTCCTGATCAGCCTGACCCAATGCTCAGCCTCACAAGTAACAGTGAATTGCCCCTATTTTGACCGGCTGATCTGTGTTCACCACAACTTTCCTCTAATGGGCCAGAGGAGCTGCACCTGTGCATTCCTATAGTCCCTGTTCACTTCTGCCGCTGTCACAGGACAGCAGGCGTCAGCTGATAGGTGAATGAGTGAGGAGAGCGTGACCCAGAGATTTCTGTGAATGCTGATACTTGAATTTTATGTAATTTTCACATGTGGTGGTAGTCTTCTTGTGATTTTTCCCCCTAACATGTTTAAAATGTCAAAATTATTCCTGGCTGGCAACTGCCCAATGACAGGTGCAAGCGGTGCAAGGTTTTTTTGTTTTTTGTTTGTTTTTTTGTTTGTTTTTTGTTTTTTGGTTTTTTTTCAGATTTAGTTAGGGGCCGGTGCTATGGCATAGCGGGTAAAGCCACCGCCTGCAGTGCCAGCATCCCATATGGGCACCGGTTCGAGACCTGGCTGCTACACTTCTGACCCAGCTCTCTGCTATGGCCTGGGAAAGCAATAGAATTTACCCAAGTCCTTGGGCCCCTGCACCCACATGGGAGACCCAGAGGAGGTGCCTGGTTCCTGGCTTTGGATCAGCACACCTCCAGCAACTGCCAGTTGGAGAGTGAACCAATGGATGGAAGACCTCTCTCTCTTTTCCTTTCCTCTCTCTGTATAACTTTTTATTTTATTTTATTTTTTTCTTTTTTGACAGGCAGAGTGGACAGTGAGAGAGAGACAGAAAGGTCTTCCTTTGCCATTGGCTCACCCTCCAACGGCCACTGTGGCCAGCGCGCTGCGGCTGGCGCACCACGCTGATCCGAAGGCAGGAGCCAGGTGCTTCTCCTGGTCTCCCATGGGGTGCAGGGCCCAAGTACTTGGGCCATCCTCCACTGCACTCCCTGGCCACAGCAGAGAGCTGGCCTGGAAGAGGGGCAACTGGGACAGAATCCGGCGCCCTGACCGAGACTAGAACCCAGTGTGCCAGCGCCGCAGGTGGAGGATTAGCCTATTGAGCCATGGCGCCGGCTCTCTGTATAACTTTTTTATAGATTTGGTTATTTATTTGAAAGGCAGAGGCAGAGAGAGAGAGAGGTCCTCCATCCGCTGGTTCACTCCCAAGATGGCCGCAATGGCTGGAGCTGCGCTGATCCAAAGCCAGGAGCCTGGAGCTTCCTCTGGGTCTCCCACACTGGTACAGGAGCCCAAGGACTTGTGCCAACTGTTTTCCCAGGTGTGCAGGCCTGCTGCACCGGTCGAACAGAACCTGAAGGAGGGAGTGAGAATGAAAAGAGGGACAAGGGCGCAGAGAATGGAGCCAAGACAAAGAGCTGATCAAGGCTCGTTTATTCCAGCGGCACATTAAGGAAGCACAGAAGGTCCACAGACATCAGCACATGCAAGCGGCTTATCTGCTCTCCTGCAACATCAGCCGGTTTCCACAGAATGTTTTTGACCAACATCCTTCCTTGGCCTTGACTTGTCCAAAGGCTGCCTACACCCAGGCCATAGCAGAGAGTTGGATCGGAAGTGGAGCAACCGGCTCTTGAACTGGTGCCCGTATGGTATGCTGGCACTGTAGACAGCAGCTTTACCTGCTACGCCGCAGCAAGTTGACTCTTGAACTGGAATGGCTATCTCTTAAAAAATAGGAGAACAACTATGGATTCAAGTCCTGGCTCTGCTCATGATTCCAGCTTCCTGCTAATGCCACCTTGGGAGGTAGCAGTTGTTGGCTCAAGGACTTGGGTCCTTGCCATCCATGTGGGAAACCTGGATGGAGTTCCTGGGTCCCGGCTTTGCCCTGGCCCAACCCCAGTGTTGTGGACGTTTGGTGGGGAATGAACCAGCAGATGGGAGATCTCTGCCTGCCTGTTGCTGTTTCTCTGCCTTTCAAGTACATAAAAATAAAAATTTTTAAATAAAAAATAATAGATGTAAAAACATGCCATACTCTCCAGTGTTGGAAAGCAACTCTTCTGCTTTCTTCTGGAAAACTCCTAGGCACACTGGTAGACATTTAAGTTAGCAAAGCCTCCTTTTAGGGCAGTTGGACAGGATCTTCCCATCTGAAGCTGTGCTGAGCTGCACGCCAGCCAGTCTACGTGGAGAAATTCCATCATACAGAAATATGGGTTGGATGTGCAAGAATGCATCACTGAAGCACTGTGTACACAGCCTGAGTATCCCTTCTCTGAAGTGTGCAGGGTCACAGTGTGATTTTTGGATTTTTTTTTTTTTTTTTTTTTTTTGGAGAGGGGTTGTAATATTATACATAGTGAGATACCTTGGGGGTGGGACCAAATCTAAATACAAAATTCATCTAAATCTCATTTATACCTAGAGACATAACCACAAGGTAATTTTATTCTGGATTTTTAGTGCACCTGCATTTTGACTGTGACCCATCACATGAGGTCAGATGTGGAATTTTCCACTTGCGGTGTCCTATTAATACCCACAGAACTTCAGATTTTGGGACATTTTTGGGTTAGCTATGCTCAATCTATGACAGTAAAAAAAGAAGGTTGCTTCATTACAAGGTTCATCATCATGGGGCCAATAACTGCCGTTTCTAATGTGCATTTCTATGGGTATGTTGGTTTGTATCTATCTACCTGTAGAAAACACCTGGTGGTGGTGGGGGGGGGGGGTGTTGGGCATTTCTCCTTGCACATACATGTTGGATGTGCAGTGTTCCACCCTTTCTCAGAACTGCCTGTCCTGGGAGAGCCCCAGAGGCAATCTTAGTCTTAGCCAGGCACAGCTAGGAGCAGGCCTCACCCTGGGCCAGTGTCCCTACTGGGGATGTGGGGGGGTGGGAGTGGCAGGTGACCTTGAGGCTGTCCTGGTCTGGGGTGTGGGCCGGATGCTGGAGAACATTCCACGCATGCCGGGCTGCCTGGGAATGATCTGCCTGGTGGGCGGCCCCTCCCGAGGCCTCTGGCTGACCCTGCTCAGAGGAACCAGCACTAAGGCGGGGCGTTCCTCTGTCCCAGGGCTCCGTGGAAGGCAGCCCAGAGCTCAGTCTGTGTGGCCACCTGGCCAGATCAGGCTCTTCTCTATGATGCTTGTCCAGGAGCCCTGTTTGGGGTGGGGGCCACTGTCACTGTGCAGTGACTTTCCCCTAAGCAGCCAGGGTCTCCTGGGAGACCAGGCAAGCCCCAGGGCCTCTGTGGGCCCCTCTGTCAGCTGAGGGCCAGAGGGTGCCTTCGCAGGCTTGCTAGCTCTGCCTGCCTCCCAGGATGGATGGAGGCTCAGCCGAGCCACTCGCAGTGAACAGGCAAGGGAAAGGGGCTGATGAGAGTCAGCGTGGCCAGCCCTGCCCTCTCCCAGCCTGGGTCTACTTTGAGGACCAAGCCCCGTGTATTTCCACCCACAGGCATCTGCCTTTCATTTTCCCCAAGTTCAAAGGCAGACAGCTGGCAGGCAGTGAAGCTGGGTGGGCTGGTGTGCATTTGGGCGTGTGCTTTGCTGGACACACTGGCCTGGGAGGTGAGGAGGTCCGCTGCCTGGCCTGGCCCAGCCAGGCTGGGTCTGATTGAAGCCATGTGCTGGGCAGGGACAGGGCTTTTTGTTTCTGTCTCTGGATGGACAGGGCTCTAACCCAAGGTCAGTTTCAGGTGATCCTTGGACCTGGGGAACCTCTGCAAGCCCCTCACGCCACCAGGCCCATCCTGCACCTGACATGGAACATTCCCCCAGGGAATGCAGACATGAGGTCCTGCATGGCTGCGGGGCTGAGAGGCTGGGACCTTTCAAATCATCCAGAAGAAGCCCCTGCTGCCCTCAGCTGGTAGGGGCAGCCAGAATCAAGTGGCCTCATGAGGCCCTCACATGTGGGGCCGGAGCCCGGAGGACCTAACCTTCTGAGGCCAACTGCACTGCTGGGAAGACAACACGGTGCTTCTGGGGTGGGAGGGAAGCCTGGATCCCAAGCTGGGCCCCTGCTGTGGGGGAAGCCATCCTCCCACCTCACAGGGCAGCCCTAGGGCAGGGGCTGTAGAGGAAGACAGGCCCCATGGGCCTGAGGACCCCGGCTGCCATCCCCTGAGGGTGCCTCTGTGATTTGTGCCACCTGGCACAGGCCCTGGGCCCCATGTTCCCAGCTTCCCTCCCACTGGGAGTGGGACTTGGCACGACCTTTCCTCCCTACTTGGGGCTTTGGGCTAAAAGTAGCCATTTCCTTTTGTGGCGCATGGGCCCCAAGACCCCCAATGAGCCTGACATTTCAGGGCCGGCCCAAGCTGCTATCAGGCTGTAGGGACAGTGGGTTGAGGACACCATGTAGGATGTATGCATGGCATCCTATCACCCTGAAGTCAGCCACTGGGCATATTGCATGGTCCATGGTCCATAGTGCATGTTAAGTATCACACAACACATGGTACCCATTACATTGCTCATTGCATAATATGTGATACACTAGGGCCAGTGCTGTGGCATAGTAGATTAAGCCTCCACCTGCAGCACCAGCATCCCATATGGGTGGCAGTTCAAGTCCCAGCTGCTCCACTTCCAATCCAACTCTCTGCTAATGGCCTGGGAAAGCAGTGAAGGATGGCCCAAGTCCTTGGGACCCTGTACCCGCGTAGGAGATCAGGAAGAAGCTCCTGGCTCCTGGCTTTGGATTGGCCCAGCTCCAGCCATCATGGTCATTTGGGGAGGGAACCATCGGATGGAAGATCTCTCTGTCCCTCCCTCTCTCTCTCTAACTCTGCCTCTGATAAATCTTAAAAAAAAAAAAAATACATGGTGCAGTACATTATGCGGGCTGCATTTTATGCAATGCATGGTTGTGTGGTGTCTCACAATGGCTCACCATGCTCCCCTAGGGGTGGGGGCACTGCACTGAGTGGGTGGGCCCTCCTGCCCTGCCCGTGTTGCCCGCACATAGTCCTCTCCCCTCCCACACACAGCCTTCAGCAGCCTCATCCTGGTTTTATTCCTCCTTTTAAAAGTGTTTTTAAAACACACAGAGAGAGAATAGAGAGCGCTCATTTGCTGTTTTGGTTCCCAGACGCTCAAAAGGGAACTCAATCCAGGTCCCCTTCATGGATGACAGGAACCCAGTCACTAGAGCTGTCATTTCTGCCCTCTGGGCTGCTTAAAAGCAAGATGGAGTCAGGGGTCAGAGACAGGGGCTGCACCCAGGCCTTTAGCAGAAAACATGGACATTTCCACTGCCAGGCCAAGCGTGTGCCCCTTAGCAGGCTTCTCTCTCGGGGACAGGGAGGGCCCTGCCTGGCCTTGATAGACTTTGGAGGGGGGTCCTGCTGGGGTGCAGAGTACAGATGATCCAGGGGTGGCAGGGGCTGGTGGAGCCAAGACACTGAGCCCATTCTACGTGAAGAGGCTGGTGGAAGGGCCTGAATTCAATCTGGCTGGCCCCTAAACTGGACACGGGGCACGTGCCTCTCAGGAGCAAGGCCCTGTCGCTCCCCCTCTTCGTGGAGGAACGACACAGGACCCTGCGCTCTTCTTTCGTCTGCTCGGCCCTCCCCGGGTTTGCTGCTGGTTCTTCCCGGGTTGGCTACCGACCCTTCCACCTCCATGGAGGGGCGGCTCCCCCTGCCACTTTCCCCACTTCCGCAGGGGAGCGGCACACCACCGGCCGGCTCTCTCGGGGGCTGCACAGGTGTTCCTCTTAGATGTTCCCTTTAGATGTTCCCCCGTGCATGTTGTCTCTCTCCTCCTTTATAGTCCTCTTCACCAATCCCAACTCGGCTGCCCACACGCCAAGTACGCTGCTCTCCTCCAATCAGGAGCAGGTCCTACAGTTTATTGGTTGAACTGGAGGCAGCTGTGTAGAAGCTGTTTTCTCCTCTCCCAGCGCCATATTGTGGGAGAGCAGATGTATAGAATAAGTCTTAATTCCAGTAACAGTATAGTCCGAGTTGCTCCCCACAGGCCCACATGCCCATGACAGGTAGTCTGTCAGCTACACAACTGCAGGCCCCACAACTGCCTGCCACCTGGGCCTGGCCGGTCAGTGGCTTCTTCCCAGGTAGGCCTGGGTTTGGCCTGATCCTGCCTTTGCTCTGGTGTGCAGCCACCCCACCCCACCTCCTCGAAAAAACATGCACACTCCCACCCTGACCCTCAAGGTGGAGTGCATCTTGCTTGCACGAAATTTTCTAGAATAGTCTGGAAGTGATGTGGCCATTGTCAAAATGGAGACATCAATGGACTTATCCTTACAGGTACCTATCCGCTAACAGTTTACCCAACCCTTCTGGATAAGGCTTGCCCTGCTGGGTGGGATTATGGCAAGGAAAGCTGTGAGGAAATGGGATATGGGGGCCAAGGGCAGGAGTGTTCTTGCACAGCACCTGAGGATATGGAACCTGGGTCCTGACCATCAGAGAGCTCGTGCTCTGCCTTGAAGATGAGCCCAGCCCTCATAGTGCTCTGGACACAAGGGGGACTGTGTGTGCTCCGAGGAATCCCTGAGCCCAAGCACTGGAGGAAGTGCAGAGTTGGGTGGAGTTTCAGGGGCAGGACTAAGCTCCAAGCTGGCTGGGAAGAGACCCAGCTTGCACCATGGCTGTGTGTGTGTGTGTGAGGGGGGACTTCTGCCAAGGGTCCCTGCAGGACAGCACAGCCCAGGTGTGGGCAAGAAGGACCCTTGGCTGAGGACAGCACGAGCTGTTCGTGTGGGAAGCAACCCAAGGTGGGCCCTGAAGCAGATTCCCGTCTTACCTGGAGCGGGCTTGTGTCAGGCCCAGCTGTGAGCCAGAGAGAGGGCAGGCCAGATAACACAAGTGAGTGGGGTTCTGAGTGAGCTTGCAAGGTGAGGCAGGGCAAGTTTCCAAGGATTCCAGATCATTTGCCAGAGTTCATCAACACTAAGCACTCGTGTACATGAAAGGACACCAGTGATCAGTGTCACAATACAGGAAGAATTCCTATGACTCAACAACAATGGAAATTGAACAGCCTGATTCAAAAATGGGCAAAGAACTTGAACTGACCTTTCTCTCAGGAAGATATAAAATGACCCAAAAGCACATGAAAAGATACTGAATACCGCCAGTCATAGCAAAATGAAAATCAAAACTTCAGGGAGATATCACTTCATAGCGTTGTGATGGCCACCAGAAACCAGAACAAAAAAGAATAGCAAGTGGGGCCAGGATACCGAAAACTTGGAGACCTGTGCTTTGCTGGTGGGACTGTGGCATCTGCAGCCACTGTGCAAACTTATTGAGAGGCTTCCTCAACATTAAACACAGTGTTGCATGTGGCCCAGCAATTCTTGTTTTTTTTAAAAGGGTTTTTTGGGGGCCCGGCGCCATGGCTTACTTGGTTAATCCTCCACCTGCAGTGCTGGCATCCCATATGGGCACCGGGTTCTAGTCCTGGTTGCTCCTCTTCCAGTCCAGCTCTCTGCTATAGCCCAGGGAGGGCAGTGGAGGATGTCCCAAGTGCTTGGGCCCCTGCACCTGCATGGGAGACCAGGAAGAAGCACATGGCTCCTGGCTTCAGATCAGTGCAGTGCCGGCTGTAGCAGCCATTTGGGGAGTGAACTAACAGAAGGAAGACCTTTCTCTCTGTCTCTTTCTCTCTCACTGTCTATAACTCTACCTGTCAAATAAATAAAAAAAATTTTAAAGGTTTTTTTTTTTTTTATTTGAAAGGCAGGGTTACACGGAGAAAGACAGAAAGGTCCTCCATCCACTGGTCCACTCCCCAAATGGCCTCACCAGCCAGAGCAGGGCCGGACTGGAGCCAGGATCCGGAGCTGCTTCTTTTTCAGGTGACTAGGCCATTTGTTGAAATGATACTCCCTTTCCCGTTGAATTGTCTTATCTGTGAATGCTGGTTTATTTCTGGATTCCCAGTTGGAGTCCACTGACCTCTGTCTTCACCCCTGTGTCAGCACCACGCTGTGTGTGATTCTACAGCTGAGTCTCCCAACTTGTTCTTTTTCAAGATTGGACAATTCTGAGATCCTGGGATTTTCATACAAGTTTTAGAATCCATTTGTTGATTTCTACAGAAAAAGCAGAAAAGAAAAACATCTGGTAATTTGGTAGGGATTTCATTGACTCAGTAGATACATGGGGAAGGAAGGCCACTTAACAAATCTCTGATCCATGTAGTTTCCAGTGTACAGATTTGCATTTATTTTAATTTACTCTGAAACGTTTTTATTCTTTTGATGCTACTCTAAATGGAATTGTTTTACTTCATTTTTGTTGCTAGTGTACAGAGATAGATTAATTTCCATATATTGATTCTGTATCCTACAGTTTTTAGTGGACTTGTGAGGGTTTTCATGTACAAGATCGTGCTGTCTGCAAATGGAGATCATTTTGCCTCTTGCTTTCCAACTGGATGATTTTGTCTTTTTTCTTGCTTCATTTTCTTGCCTGGAAACTCCAGTACAGCACTGAGCAAAAGCAGTGAGAACAGCCGTCCTTGTCCTGCTCCTCATCTCGTGGAGGAAGCTCCAGTCTCACCACTAAGCGTGATGCTGGTTGTGGGCCTTTGGCTATCCTTTATCCAGTTAAGGAAGCTCCCTTCTAGTTCTAGTTTGTTATTTTATCCTGAAAGAGTTGGCTTTTCTGCATCTAATAATATGATCTTGTGGATTTTGTTCTTAATCTAGTAATATGGGTTTGTTACATTAATTGACTTTTTTTAAAAAGATTTTTATTTATTTATTGAAAGAGTTACACAGAGAGAGAAGAGACAGAGAGAGAGAGGTTTTCCATCCGCTGGTTCACTCACCAGTTAGCCACAACAGCCAGAGCTGTGCCGATCCAAAGCCAGGAGCTTCCTCCGGGTCTTCCCACGCAGGTGTAGGAGCCCAAGGACTTGAGCCATCTTCTACTGCTTTCCCAGGCCATGGCAGGGAGCTGGATCGGAAGTGGAGCAGCCAGGACTTGAACTGGTGCCCATATGGAATGCCAGTGATACAGGTGGTGGCATTACCCTCTAATTGACTTTTAAATGTTAACCCAGCCTTGCATTCCCAGGGTAAATCCCACCTGTGCACAATGCATAATCTTTTTCATACATTGCTGGATTTTCTTTGTCAGTATTTTGTTGAGGATTTGTGTGTCTGTATCATAAGTTACTGGCCTGTAATTTCCTTTCCTTGTGATCCCATTAGTTGGTTTCGATATCGTGGAAATCAAGGAGTTAGTTGCACAAAGTCCCAGAATTTCTGTTTCACTCATGCAATAGTTCTACTCATCGGTCTTATTTCTATGTGGGTCAGCTTAGGTAGTTTGTGTTTTTCTAGGAATTTGCTATCTCACTTGCTGGCATGGAGTGGCTTGTAGTATTCTCTCTCTCTCTCTCTTTTTTTTTTTTTTTTTTTTTTTTTTTTGACAGAGTGGACAGTGAGAGAGACAGAGAAAGGTCTTCCTTTTGCCGTTGGTTCACCCTCCAATGGCTGGCGGCACGCTGCGGCCAGTGCATCGCGCTGATCCGAAGCCAGGAGCCAGGTGCTTCTCCTGGTCTCCCATGGGGTGCAGGGCCCAAGCACTTGGGCCATCCTCCACTGCACTCCCTGGCCACAGCAGAGAGCTGGCCTGGAAGAGGAGCAACCGGGACAGAATCCGGCGCCCCAACCAGGACTAGAACCTGGTGTGCCGGTGCCGCAAGGCGGAGGATTAGCCTAGTGAGCCGTGGCGCCGGCTTTGTAGTATTCTCTTTTAAGTCTCAGTCTCTCTCTCTCTCTCTCTCTCTCTCTCTCTCTCTCTCTCTCTCTCTCTCTCTCCTTTTTAATGTAAATCATTCCTGATTTAATAACTTGAGTGTTTTTAGATATCAGTCTAGCTGGAGCTTTGTTAACTTTATTGATCCTTTCAGAGAATGAACCTGTGGGTTCGTTGATTTTCTCTGCTGTTTTGTTTATGTCCTGCATGTGATTATGGCTATTACTGAAGGTATTCCTGTTACTAAAGTTACTGATCTGAGGACTTTCCTAGGCATTTAAAGCTGTGAGTTTCCCTCCAAGACCTGCTCGGACACTTCCCTTCCATGTGTTGTGTTTTCCCAATCATTTATCTTAAAGTATTTGTTAAACTTCCTTGTGATGCCTTTTTTGAGTTGTTGGTTATTCAGGAGAGTGTTAGTAACAGCATTGCCCTGTGACTTCCAGTCAGAGGCTCGCCCAGATCGGCGCGCGGCCGAGCAGCTGCAGGGGGCGCTCTCGGCTCTCCAGGGCTCTTTCTCCTCGCTGCTCCCTTCGCCGGTCTCTGCCCTGAGAATGCGGCCTGATCTCTCTTCACCAGCCCTGTCTGGATTCCCATTTCTGAGGCTGGGCAGAGGCTCGACGCTCTCCTGTGTCTCAGGGACCACAGCCACCATTGCCTGATGTACAGGATCTTGAAAACCAGTTTTAAAAGTTTTATTATTATTATTATTGTTTCAGATTGAAGGTCCATCTGATCCCATTTACTACCTCTTGGCTAGAAATACACGTTATTTTTTTGTTTGTTAGTTTTATTCAAAACAAAGTCAAAACAAAATTAGGAAGTCTTTTATTTTTAAGATTTATTTGTTTATTTTGAAAGTTACAAAGAGAGAGAGACCTGAGGCTTCCCTCCACTGAATCACTCCCCAGATGTCCTCAACAGCTTGTGCTGGGTCAGGCCAGAGCCAGGAACCAGGAGTTTCCTCCTGGTCTCTCATGTAGGTGCAGGGGCCCAAGCACTTGGGTCATCCTCCACTGCTTTCTCAGGCCATTAGCAGGGAGCTGGATTGGAAGTGGAGCAGCCAGAACTTGAACTTGGTGCCCATAAGGGTTACCGGTGCTGCAGTCACCATCCCCAGGAACTTTTTATTTTTTTAAATGCATATATATATATACATATATAGTTTTAAAGAATATTCATGTCCTTCCTCCTATATATATTTATATGTATATTTATATAGTTTTAAAGATTATTCGTGTCCTTCCTAGGGTTCCTCCTCCCCACATTTCGGGTAGTTTCTTCTGAACCTTATGTTCTATCTAGTTCATGGATTCTATCTTCATCTGAATCTAAACTGTTGTCGAAGCCTGTGAGTTCTGAATTTTGTTTTTTGTGTTTTTCATGTCAAAAAATTCTATTTCAGTTTTTTGAAAGACTCTGCCACATTTATAGTTTCCAGTTGTTGCTATAAATATTTACAAGCACAGTTTTATCCTCTTGAGCACAATAAGCACATTCGTTTTACAGTTTCTGGCTGATAGCTCAACTATCTGGGTTTCTTCCGGTTTGTTTTTTTCTGCTGGCTCTCAGTCACGGTGTGCTACCTCATGTTTCTGGTTATCTCTGCTTATGTGCTGGAGAGGTATTTACGTTTTACTCATGAAAGTAATGTAATGCTTCAGGGGATGCCACCACTGCCCTGAGAGGACTTTTGTTTCTTTTGCCAGGCACAGGCAGGCACTAGCAATCTGGGTTACTCTGCACCGAGTTCAGGGCTTGAGAACTTGAGATTTTCTGAGTTCAGGGTTTGAGTCACCCAGATGATTCAAAGCTGGGCTGTTCTGCGTCTGATTCACCCATATTCCGAGGGTGCATCCCTTCTTGTTTTCAGCCCAAAGCAGGTGTGGTGCACCATGGTCCACACCCATCGCTTCCCTAACCCAAAACGGCTGCCAAAAATGACACAGAGTCCCTGTGCTGCCCTTTCTGAAAGGGCAGCAGCAGCCTGAATGCTTGAGTCTCCTGGTTGGGTCTTATTCTGGTGACCCAGCATCACGGTTTGGGTATTTCCTGCTTCTCTGGGGGTGATTTCATGTTTTATCATGGAGTCTAGTTGCCTTCACCGGAAGGGCTAGCCCTTATTACCTTGTTTGCAATTGTTGGAAACCTTTCCAACTTTTAATCTAAAGGTTTTTTTTTTAAAGATTTGTTTTTATTTGTTTGAAAGGCAGAGTTACAGAGAGAGGGGAGGAGGAGGGGAGAGAGAGCGCGCAATCCTTCATCTGCTGGTTCACTCCCCAGATGACTGCAATGGCCAGGGCTGGACCAGGCCAAAACCAGCAATGCGGAGCTTCTTCCAGGTCTCCTACATGGATGCAGGGGCCCAAGCACTTGAACTATCTGCTGCTGCTTTCCCAGGCCATTAGCAGGGAGCTGGATCAGAAATGGAGCATCCAGGTCTCAAACTGGCACCCATATTGGATGCCAGTATTACAGGTGGAGGCTTAGTGTACTATGCCAGAAGGTTAAGTGTTCCTTTTGTCTATTTTTGTGTGAATTGTGAGGTACCATTCTTATTTCATTTCTCCTCATGTGCATAGCCACTTTTCCAAGTGTACACCACATATGGGAGTTCCATGACTGTGGGCTGTGCTCCTGGAATGGGCTGACACCTGCATCCTCCAGAGCCACGGGCTGGAATCCTCACCCCCATTGTGAGGGTGGCTGGAGGCAGTTATGTTGAGAATGGAAGCCTCCTGAATGGGGTTCTTGTTCTCAAGAGCTCCCTCACCCCGTCCACCTTGCTGCCCAAGGACCCAGATTGAGTTCCAGGCTGCAGGCTTAGCCTCAGCTGTTGCTAGTATTTTGGGAGTGAACCAGAGGAGTGGAATACTCTATTTCTCTCTGTCTGCCTTTCAAGTAAATAATAAATTAAAAAAAATGTAAATGTTATTGTCTATAAGCCACAGAGTTTTTATATGATATTTTGCCATAGCAATCTGAATTAAGACAATTCCATTACCATTTATTTATTTATTTATTTATTTTTGACAGGCAGAGTGGACAGTGAGAGAAAGAGAGACAGAGAGAAAGGTCTTCCTTTGCTGTTGGTTCACCTTCCAATGGCCGCTGCGACCGGCGCATCACGCTGATCCGAAGCCAGGAGCCAGGTGCTTTCCCTGGTCTCCCATGCGGGTGCAGGGCCCAAGCACTTGGGCCATCCTCCACTGCACTCCCGGGCCATAGCAGAGAGCTGGCCTGAAAGAGGGGCAACCGGGACAGAATCCGGCACCCTGACCAGGACTAGAACGCGGTGTGCCAGCGCCGCAAGGCGGAGGATTAGCCTATTGAGCCACGGCGCCGGCCAATTCCATTACCATTTTTTGTCCCTGTATATACACTACTAATGTTTTTTTAAGATTTATTTTATTTATTTTAAAGAGTTACACAGAGAGAGGAGAGGCAGAGAGAGAGAGAGAGGTCTTCCATCTGTTGGCCTACTCCCCAGATGGCTGCAACAGCTGGAGCTGTGCTGATCCAAAGCCAGGAACCAGGAACTTCTTCCGGGTCTCCCACACAGGTGCAGGGGCCCAAGGACTTGGGCCATCCTCTACTGCTTTCCCAGGCCATAGCAGAGAGCTGGATTGGAAGAGGAGCAGCCGGGACTAGAACCGGTGCCCATATGGGATGCCGGCGCTTCAGGCCAGGGCTTTAACCCACTGTGCCACAGCACCGGCCCCAACACTACTAATGTTTTAATTACTATAGCACCACAATGAGATTTGGGGTTGTGTAGGGAAAACTGATCTGTCTTACTCTCTTGGACCTTTACCCTCCCACGTAAATTATAACTTTTTTTAAAAAAGATTTATTTATTTATTTGAAAGGTGGAGTTATGGAGAAGGGGGGGAGGGGAGAGAGATAGGTCTTCCATCTGCTGGTTCACTCCCCAAGCCTGCAAGAAGGGGCATGTTTCATAACGTGCAAAGGTTGGCAGCTGTGCAGCAGAGCTGTCCATGGTAACTGACTTACAGAATCAAGTCTGGCACAGAACCGGCCTACACAGTTTTGTCTGTGGGCTGTGGTGACAAACCCAAGGGTGGGGGTGAGGCACGGGGTGAAGCCCCAGTGTCTGGGTTGAGTGGCTACTGCCACATGTGTGTATCACCTGCTGGGGGCGCCCTCCCTGCCCCTGCCTCTGAGCTTTCACCTGCTGGGGGCGCCAAGTGTTCAGGCTAGGTGCAGTCGCCTGCTGGGGGCGCCTTTGCGCCCAGGCTCCCAAGGCCCAGGCTCCCTCACGCGTCCAAGTCAGGCGCATCCTTCCATCCTCATGGCACCCTTCTCAGGCCTGGGCTTCCTGCTACTATTGCTGCTGCTGGTGACGAGGACCCCAGCCCCAGCTGAGGCATGGGTCCGGGGACCTCCCAAGAGCCCAAGAAACTCCTCGCGCGGTGACCCCGGTAGGCCCCTGCTCCAGGGCGCAGCAGAGGGAATCCCATGGCTCGCGGTGGAGCTGGCAGCGGCGGACGCCCCGCTGGCCCGCTCCCCTCACGCCCTGTCCCCTTCCCAGCCTGCGGTCGGCGAGCGGTGCCGGGCAAGGTGCTGGGCGGCGCGCCGGCCACCGAGACCAGGTGGCCATGGCAAGTGAGCGTGCACTACGCCGGCTTCCACGTATGCGGCGGCTCCATCGTCGACGAGTACTGGGTGCTGTCGGCGGCACACTGCTTCCACCGGTGAGGCCCGCAGCCGCGGTCACAGCGCGTGACTCGCGCGCCTGGGAAGCGGGTCCACGGCAGAGGCCAGCGCCTGCGCACAGGGCAGCCTTGTGGAACTGAGTCCTGGGCAGGGGCTGGGGTCGCGACTCCTCCCGGCCTGTGCCTGCCTTTTCGTGGTGCTGGTCTCTGCGCTGGGCCGCAGGCAATGTGCCTTCCCCGGCTTGCAGGGACAAGAGCTTGGAGACCTTTGACTTGTATGTGGGCCTCACCAACCTCAAGGCAGCCCGCAACCACACCCAGTGGTTCGAAGTGAACCAGGTGATTCTGCACCCCAGCTATCAGATGTACCACCCCATTGGCGGGGACGTGGCGCTGGTGCAGCTCAAGTCCCGCATCACATTCTCCGACGCCGTGCTCCCTGTCTGCCTGGCGCCTGCCGATCTAAACCTCACAGGCCTGGCATGCTGGGCTACTGGATGGGGCCTGATCTCACAGCAAGGTAAGAGCAGGTGTAGGCCTCAAGGGCATGGAAGGGGTCATGGAAGCCGTGAGGGAGAGATAAAACACCTGACAGGTGACAGGGTGCCACCAGGGAAGGGGTAAAGACAGGCAAAATGCCACGCAGCAGGGCAGCTCCAAAAACACACTACAAACACAGGAAAGCCCCCCACTCACAGGAACCACCACACTCACAGGAACCCACCACACTCACAGGAACCCACCACACGCACAGAACTCACCACACTCACAGGAACCCACCACACTCGCTGGAACTCACCACACTCACAGGAACTACCACACCCACAGGAACCCACCATACTCACAGGAAGTGCCACACTCACAGGAACCCAACATACTCACAGGAACTCACCACACTCAAAGGAACTCACAACACTCACAGGAATTCACCACATGCACAGGAACTACCACACTCACAGGAACCCACCACACTCACAGGAACTCCCCACACTCACAGGAACTACCACACTCACAGGAACCCACCACACTCACAGGAACTCACCATACTCACAGGAACTCACCACACTCACACAAACTGCCACACTCACAGGAAATCACCACACTCACAGGAACTACCACACTCATAGGAACTACCACAGTCACAGGAACCCACCATACTTACAGAAACTCACCACACTCACAGGAACTCACCAGACTCACACAAACTGCCACACTCACAGGAACCCACCATACTCAAAGAAACTCACCACACTCACAGGAACTCACAACACTCACAGGAACCCACCACACTCACAGGAACTACCACACTCACAGGAACTCACGACACTCACAGAAACTGCCACACTCACAGGAACCCACCACACTCACAGGAACCCACCACACTCACAGGAACTCACCACACACACTGGAACCCACCACACTCACAGGAACTACCATACACAGAGGAACTCACCACACTCACACAAACTGCCACACTCACAGGAACTACCACACTCATAAGAACTACCACACTCACAGGAACCCACCACACTCACAGGAACCCGCCACCCTCACAGGAACCCACCATACTCACAGGAACCCGCCACCCTCACAGGAACCCACCACACTCACAGGAACCCACCACACTCACAGGAACTACCACACTCACACAAACTGCCACACTCACAGGAACCCACCACACTCACAGAAACCCACCATACTCACAGGAACTCACCACACTCACAGGAACTCACCACACTCACACAAACTGCCACACTCACAGGAACCCATCACACTCACAAGAACTGTCACATTCATAGGAACTCACCACACTCACAGGAACCCACCACACTCACAGGAACTGCCACACTCACAGGAACTCACAACACACAGGAACTCACGACACACAGGAATACACCACACTCACAGGAACCCAGCACACTCACAGGAACCCACCACACTCGCAGGAACCCGCCACCCTCACAGGAACTACCACATTCACAGGAACTACCACACTCACAGGAACTCACGACACTCACACAAACTGCCACACTCACAGGAACCCACCACACTCACAGGAACCCGTCACACTCACAGGAACTACCACACTCACAGGAACCCAGCACACTCACAGGAACCTACCACACTCACAAGAACTGTCACATTCATAGGAACTCACCACAACCACGGGAACTACCACACTCACAGGAACTGCCACACTCACAGGAACTCACCACACTCACAGGAACTCACCACACTCACAGGAACCCGTCACACTCACAGGAACTCACCACACTCACAGGAACTACCACACTCACACAAACTGCCACACTCACAGGAACCCACCACACTCACAGAAACCCACCACACTCACAGGAACTCACCACACTCACAGGAACCTACCACACTCACAAGAACTGTCACATTCATAGGAACCCACCACACTCACAGGAACCCACCACTCTCACAGGAACCCACCACTCTCACAGGAACCCACCACAACCACAGGAACTACCACACTCACAGGAACTGCCACACTCACAGGAACTCACCACTCTCACAGGAACTGCCACACTCTCAGAACCCCCACACTCACAGGAACTCACCACAACCACAGGAACTACCACACTCACAGGAACTGCCACACTCACAGGAAGTCACCACACTCACAGGAACTCACCACACTCACAGGAACTGCCACACTCTCAGAACCCCCACACTCACAGGAACTCACCACAACCACAGGAACTACCACACTCACAGGAACTGCCACACTCACAGGAAGTCACCACACTCACAGGAACTCACCACACTCACAGGAACTGCCACACTCTCAGAACCCCCACACTCACAGGAACTCACCACAACCACAGGAACTACCACACTCACTGGAACTACCACACTCACAGGAATTTACCACAATCAGAGGAACCCAGGACACTCCTAGGAACTAGCACATTCACAGGAACCCAGGACACTCACAGGAACATCCCACACACTTCATAAAGAAAGGAAGAATAGCCTGGTAATTCCCAGTCCCATGAATTGGTGCATGTTCTTAGGGAAATGCAAAAGCTGCTTACCCTATTGCATTGCTCCTGTTGTGCTTATACTACTCCTGTACACAGATCCACTCATCTCACCGTAGCCAATAAACACGTAGAATTACTCATTTTGATTACAAGTACACTTTTTAAATAGAGAACAGCAGAAGGGATTGGTTTCTCTATTGGGTTCTGGAATCCCTACCCTTCGATCAGCATCTGTTTGTTGTCTTTGGGGACCTTTTTTGTGTTGTATCCTTGACTGACTTTGTTGTATGCAGAGAAAATAGTTACAGCTTCTTCACACTTGAGTGTGAAATTTGCATTCAGTATCCCAAGAGCGAAAGCCTCATTCTCCTTATTCTCCTAAGATTTTAAATTAGGCTTAGAAATCTCCTTTAAGGCCGGCGCCGCAGCTCACTAGGCTAATCCTCCGCCTTGCGGCGCTGGCACACCGGGTTCTAGTCCCAGTTGGGGCGCCGGATTCTGTCCCGGTTGCCCCTCTTCCAGGCCAGCTCTCTGCTGTGGCCAGGGAGTGCAGTGGAGGATGGCCCAAGTGCTTGGGCCCTGCACCCCATGGGAGACCAGGAAAAGCACCTGGCTCCTGGATCCTGCCATCGGATCAGCGCGGTACGCTGGCCGCGGCGGCCATTGGAGGGTGAACCAACGGCAAAAGGAAGACCTTTCTCTCTGTCTCTCTCTCTCACTGTCCACTCTGCCTGTCAAAAAAAAAAAAAAAAGAAATCTCCTTTAGCCTATTAAAAAAATAAAGCATTACTTTCTATGATCTTCTCCTTAAGTGCCTGTGCTTCTTTCCCCTAGGTTTATACTAGGGTACTTTAAAAGATGAGTATCTCTGGATATTGAGAAGCAATTTTAAAAATTTCATTTGCTAATCAGTTGTAACTATTGATATTTGCATGTTGATCTTGTATCCAACCACTATACTAAACTCATTTTTAATAGTCAACTGATTTTGAGGCCAGCGCAGTGGCGCAGCAGGTTAAAGCCCTGGCCTGAAGTGCAGGCATCCCATATGGGTGCCGGTTTGAGACCAGCTGCTACTCTTCCAATCCAGCTCTCTGCTGTGGCCTGGGAAGGCAGTGGAAGATGCCCAAGTCCTTGGGCCCCTGCACCCATGTGCAGGGAGACCCAGAAGGGGCTCCAGGCTCCTGGCTTCGGATCAGCACAGCTCAGGCCGTTGCGGCCATCTAGGGAATGAACCAGCTGATGGAGGACCTCTCTCTCTGTCTCTCTCTGTCTCTCTCTGTAACTCTGTCTTTCAAATAAATAAAATAAATCTTTAAAAAAATTCAACTGATTTTGTTGATAATTTTAGATAAAATATTATATTTTCTTCAAATAAAGACTGTTACATCACTTCCTTTCCTTATTTTATCTTTTACATATTTTTCTTATTGCAATGGTTGGAAACTCCAGTAGAAATTATGGTAGGTCTATTTTTCTGGTTTTATTTTATTCAAAGTGCTCCTAATAATTCAGTATATTTATGGGTTGACCTAGAGTTTTTAGGTTGATAAATCATACCAGATTGAGAAAGTTACCTGTTATAGTTGGCTTACTTTAAGAAAAATATGGATCAGTGTTGAATTTATTCAGATATTTATAGCAACCCCTCGGAGGATCACATAATTTTCTTTTAATCTATTGATGCCAGGGATAGGTATTTAATGTGGAATACCTCTGAACTCTGAGGAAAGCTTTATTTGGAATTTTTTGTATTATTTATTTAACAGATAGAACTTGAGAGTTTTTGTTTGGAACTTTTCCACATGCAATTGTAAATAACATGAGTCTAAGGTTTTCTTTGTTGGCTAACCTCATCTTTTGTTGACGTCTTTGTGCTGCTGACTTTGGGTGGATGGGTTGAATGCTTTCCTGTTTATTTGTATTCTCTGGAAAATGGTTTCTGTTAAAACAGGAACAAGCTATTCCTTGAAGTTTGGATCTGATTTTCCCATAAAGCACACTGATGCTGGTACCATTTGTAAGTGTTGGTTGGAATAATATTGTCTTACTATCTGTTATGGCCACTGGTTCATTTAGATTTTTAAATTTATTCTTAGGCCAATTTTGATGGATTACATTTTTTTTTTTCAAAGTGTTGGTGCCATACTTGTATTACATGTACATTTTTTTAAGATTTGTGTATTTGAAAAAGTTACATTAAGAGAAGGAATGGCAGAGTAAGAGAGAGAGCAAGGTCTTTCATCTGCAGGTTCACTACCCAGATGGCCACAATGGCCGGAGCTGTGCTGATCCGAAGCCAGAAGCCAGGAGCTTCTCCTGGGTCTCCCACACGGGTACAGGGACCCAAGGACTTGGGCCATCTTCTGCTGCTTTCCCAGGCCACAGCAGAGAGCTGGATCAGAAGTGGAGCAGCCGGGTCTCAAACCAGAGCCCATATGGGATTCTGGCATTGCAGGCAGCAGCTTTACCTGCTACACCACAGTGCCGGCCCCTGCATGTACTTTTAACAGTAACAAATGGGAGTTACAGATCCTTTTTGCAGGAAGCAGTTGCATCACACTCCTGTTGGAAGGATAGCTTCACCAGATAGAGAATTCTGGGTCGACAGCTTTTATGTTTTGGTACTGCTTTCCTAGTGGATGCTGTTTTCTTCTGACTTGCCTAGTTTTTAGTGAGAAATGGGTTACGACTCTCATCGTTGGCAGTCTGTATATAATATTTCCCCTATTTTGGCTACCTTCAAGATTTCTCCTCAATTCTGTTGTTTAGCTTTTTTTGTTTTTAAAGATTCATCTATTTATTTGAAAGACAGAGTTACAGAGAGAGAAGGAGAGACAGAGAGAGCTCTTCCATCCATTGGTTCACTCCCCAAATGACCTCAACAGCTGGCCAATCCAAAGCCAGGAGCCAGGAACCTCCTCCAAGGCTCCACGTGGGTGCAGGGGCCTAAGCACCTGGGCCATTAGCAGGGAGCTGGACAGGAAGTGGAGCAGCCAGATCTCAAACTGGCACCCACACGGGATGCCGGCATTGAGGGCTCACCCCCTACACCACAGCACTGGCCCTGTTGTTCAGCTTTTTAATCGTGATGTTTCTAGGAGTGCTGTCTTTAATTTTGGAAATTTCTTGGCCATGGTATCATAATGTAGTTCTTCTGCCTCTACTTTCTCTTCCCCTGGAACTAGCTCCACAAATGCCGCATTGATTGCTTTTGTCTCAGCTAGGTTCTCCCCTCCACCGCCCCCTACCCCCCACAGTCTTTCTCCGTGTTTCCGTTCATATAATTTCTGTGACCTATCTCCAAGTTCATTGATCTTTTTTCTTAGCTGTACCCAATCTTTTGATAACCTCATCAAAGGAATTTGTCAGCTCTGATATTGTGTCTTTATTTCTAGTGTTTATAAATCATTTTCTTAGACTTTTCATCTTGCTGCTGAAATTCTTCATTTGTTCAAGCACGTTGTTCACCTTTAAAGAATTCCGTTTCACATAGAAATATCAGTTATTTTGAAGGCCCTGTCAGATTCTTCTGATACCTTCATGCACAGCTCTGATTCTGTGTGTGTTGTACCACTTGACAATGGATCTGGCATTCTTTTGGGGTCCCCCCCACTGTTTTTTCTTTTGTTGTTGTTGTTGTTAAATTCCAGACATTGTGGAATGTTTAAGGCCCACCTTCCTCCTCTTGCGTGGAACTTGAGGGTTCCTGAGCCACTTTTTTGCTCAGAGGGATGGGGTCACTGCAGAGATGGAGTGCTGTGACGCTGCACCTGGCGTGAGGGCCGTGCTCTGCCTCTGTCTGCAACTGCTCTGTGCTGTGATGCATACAGGGCAGGCCCTCCAAAGGTGACGCCTGGCCTGAGCCAGTGGAGGGGAGCTCCCTGTCTCCTTGTTTCAGCCTTGGCCTCAACTCTGAGAGGGAGCCTGTACTCACTCCTGCTCCAGCCCTGCTGTGCCCCAGTGCTGGCCCCAGCAGTGACCCCTGCCTGTACCCTGCATAGTTGGTCTCTCGCTTCCCTGGGGACCTAGGCTTCGGTCCCACCCCCACCCCCACCTACAGGAACAGTGGGGTGTGCCAGGCCCTGCCATCCCACTGGCTGGAGGTTCCAGCTTCCTCTGAGAGAAGCCACACTGTGGGTCCAGAGCACTCTCACGAGAGACAGTGTTGCCAGGGAGACCACATCACATGGGCTGAGGGACACCGTCTGATGTCTCTGCTCCGCCCTGTGGGTTGCTCCTCCTGCCGTGCACCAGGAATAGCCCTCGTCCTGTCCCCTCTCCCAACAGGTCACTCCTCAGAGGAACTGCAGGAGGCCCGGCTGCCTCTGATCCCGATAGCCATGTGCCGGCTGCTCTACGGGCACCGGTCCTACATTATGCAGGACATGCTGTGTGCTGGAGACATCTGGAACTGGAAGACTGTGTGTGAGGTGAAAGGTGGGGCCAGGTGGGGGTGTCCTGGGGTCTCACACTCTGCAGTGCTGCCGCCAGGGAGGGACCATGTGAGTGGGCGAGCCCCACACTCTGGGTTCACAGGAAGCCCCCTCCTCCTTGGCAGGGAGACTCTGGGGGCCCACTGGTCTGTGAAATCAACGAGACCTGGTTGCAGATTGGAATTGTGAGCTGGGGTCGTGGTTGTGCCCAGCCCATGTACCCTGGAGTGTATGCCCGCGTCTCCCATTTCTCACGTTGGATTCGCTATCACATACAGGTTGTACCCACCCCTCCTCAGCCGACCCCTGCCCTCTCCCCTGCTCTCCCCTCCACTCTCAGTGTCCTCGTGGCTATGCTGGTCAGCCTCTCAGCTTTGTGAGGGCCAAGGCTCCCCTCCCGCTTCAGGCTTTCTACAGCTGCATGCCCTGCCCCTGGCCTGGCACAGACACCTCCTGCCGATCTCTCTCTGGAGCCAGGTGAGGGCCACCTGGACAGGCCTCGATGCTGGGTCTGGGACAGCCTGGGACTGAGAGCAGAGAGGACACCAGGGCGGGGCCAAGGGCCTGGATTCTGTGTATCTGGGATTTGATGATATCATTAAATGTTTATGAAGCAAGCATCCCAGAACTCCTGAGCTGGTTTCTCCACTCTGTAGTTGCTGCAGGCTGCATCCCCAGAACAAGTGGTGAGTAGTGCACAGGGTGCAGGGTGCATGTGTCTCACCTGACACTGATGCAGGTGAGAGTGTGTGTGTGCACAGGGTGCAGGTGTGAGTGTGTGTGCACACAGGATACAGGGTGCATGTGTCTCACCTGACACTGATGCAGGTGAGAGTGTGTGTGCACACAGGGTGCAGGTGTGAGTGTGTGTGCACACAGGATACAGGGTTCATGTGTCTCACCTGACACTGATGCAGGTGAGAGTGTGTATGCTCACAGGATACAGGTGAGAGTATGTGTGTCCACAGGGTGCAGGGTTCATGTGTCTCACCTGACACTGATGCAGATGTGAGTATTTGTGTACACAGGGTGCAGGGTCCATGTGTCTCAGCTGACACTGATGCAGGTGAGAATGTGTGTGCACACAGGGTGTAGGTGAGAGTATGTGTGCCCACAGGGTGCAGGGTTCATGTGTCTCACCTGACACTGATGCAGGTGAGAGTGTGTGTGCCCACAGGGTGCAGGGTTCATATGTCTCACCTGACACTGATGCAGGTGTGAGTCTGTGTGCACACAGGGTGCAGGGTCCATGTGTCTCACCTGACACAGATGCAGGTGTGAGTGTGTGTACACAGGGTGCAGGTGAGAGTGTGTGTGCACACAGGGTGCAGGTATGAGTGTGTGCACACAGGGTACAGATGTGAGTGTGTGTGCACACAGGGTGCAGGGTCCATGTGTCTCACCTGACACAGATGCAGGTGTGAGTCTGTGTGCACACAGGGTGCAGGTATGAGTGTGTGCAAACAGGGTGCAGATGTGAGTGTGTGTACACACAGGGTGCAGGGTCCTTGTGTCTTACCTGACACTGATGCAGGTGAGAGTGTGTGTGCACTAAGGGTGCAGGTGAGCGTGTGTGTGCACACAGGATACAGGTGAGAGTATGTGTGCACACAGGGTGCAGGTGAGAGTATGTGTGCACACAGGGTTCAGGATCCGTGTGTCTCACCTGACACTGATGCAGGTAAGAGTGTGTGTGCACACAGGGTGCAGGTGTGAGTGTGTCTGCGCACATGTTAAGATGTGCAAAAATCTGTAACATTGCTAATGGACCAGGGCAAAGCCAGGAGCTAGGAGCTCTGGATCTCCTGTGTGGGTGGCAGGGATTCAGTACTGAGGCTTCACCTGCTCTCTTCCATGTGTGTTAGCAGGGAGGTGGAGCAGTCTAAGCCACGACTCAATCCTGCACTCCAGTATGGATACAGACACTGTCAGAAGAATTCACTCCTAATTGCCAGCTTATGCACAGCATACAGAAGAGCTGCATAAGACAAAGTAGGGGAAGGGGTGTGGAGGTCCCATGCCCTCTGGGCACCCCACTGCAGGAACCTTCCCAGAACCTCACTGCCCACGTGCCCATCAAGTGTATGGCTGATGAACTCACTGGCCATGGGTGCTCACCTCAACCCTCAGCCCTGCCCGTCTCCCCAGAGTTTGCAGTAGGGTGAAGGTCCCCACCCTCTAATCCTTCAGGGTCTTTCTGGGTGACCAGCCCCTTCCTGAAGCTACAAGGGCTGCAGGCCAGCAGCTGACCCATTAGCATGCAGATTTACTATGACTTTGAGATGACAAAGATCTGGGAGCTGTCTGCCAGGGCCAAACAGTGTTTAAGCCTTGTGGCTGGGGAGTGGAGTGGTTATGGACTTTAAGGGACAGATGGCAGAGGGGGGAGTGAGACTCAAGGTGGCTTCCCTGCCATTTGCTTTCATGCGGTGTAGGGTTGCCATGTGCTGCAGCAGGGGGATTGGAAACTCCCGGCTGTGTGTCACTGGGCTTGTGAAAAGGTGACCGAAACGTGGTGATTTTGCCAGAAACCCTGGTAGCAGGTAAAAGCAGATAGACCTTGTCAGTCTCCTGCGTGGTGAATAAAGATAAGCAGAGTGAGATCTGCATGCATCTGGGGAAATACCTAGCAATTCTGATCCGACAACGGCCACACATGGGGCAGGTGTCATGCAGCAGATGAAGCCACTGCCAGCAGCACCAGCACCCCAGATTGGCAGAGCACGAGTCAGTCCTGGCTGCCTTGCCAGTGCACCTGGAAACCAGCAGAGGATGGCTCCAGTGAGAGACCCAGGTGGAGATCCAGGCTCCTGGCTTCTGCCTGGTCCAGCCCTGGCCATTTAGGGAGTAAACCAGTGGATGGAAGATCTCTGTCTCTCCCTCCCTCTGTCACTCTTTCAGATAAAAAAATAAAAATAATAAAATAAATTAAAAAAAATTTTTTTGTAAGAAACACCTATGCAGGTGAATACTTACCCAAAAATGTGTGCAGCAGAATCAGTCTTTAGAGTCAAGAGGTGGGAGCTCCCAAGTCGCCCACCAACTGTGGTCCATCCCAGCAGTGGAGCACTGTCCAGCCATAGGAAGCAGTGAAGCCAAAGACAATATTAGAGATGGCTCGAACTGAATAGTAATGAGGTTAGAGAATATCAAAACCTGCTCTACTCTAGGAAGTGCTAAGGGAGCCCTTTGATGAGAAATAATAATGTATAGCCTTTTGAAGAAATAAATTAGAAAGTAAAGATGGGCAGAATGGATATGAACAACAACAAAACCCAAAAGCAAAACATAAAACAACCAAAAGCCCAAACCCACAACCAATCTATCTGCTATATTGAGGAGACTCCTTTTAGATCCAAAGACACAAAAATAGAAGATAACGATATACCATGAAATTGTACTGAAGTCACCTACATGGGCAAATTGGGGTTTAAATTAGAACATTGCTACAAAGGACAAAGAAGGACATTGCATGTTGAAGGAAGAGTCAGTCCATCTGGAAGATACAACAGTTATAAACACATATCCCCGTAACAACAGTGCCCAAAATATGCAAAATAAAAATGGCAGGACTGAAGGAAGACAGGGCCAGCACTGTGGTGGCACAGGTTAAGTCACTGCCTGCAGTGTCAATATCCTATGTGGGCGCTGCATAGCTGCCAAGCTTCTGGTTCGAGACCTGGCTGCTCCACTTCTGGTCCAGCTCTCTGCTGTGGCCTGGGAAAGCAGTGGAAGATGGCCCAAGTGCTTGGGCCCTTGCATCCACATGGGGAGCCCAGAAGAAGCTCCTGGCTCCTGGCTTCAGCATGGCCCATCCCTAAGCCATAGTGACCATTTAAGGTAGTGAACCATCAGATAGAAGATCTCTCTCTCTCTCTCTCTCTCTCTCTCTCTCTCTCTCTCTCTCTCCCCACCCTCTGTCTGTAACCTGTAACTCTGCCTTTCAAATAAATGACCAAGTTCCTGTGGATGTGGGCACAAAGGACTGTGGGGTGTGGGGACAGGAACAGCGCAGCCCATCTCCATATGGAAGCCAGGTGAGCCCACACAGCCAACAGGACCAGACTCACTGGGATCAGCCACTCTCCTCCACCAAACCTTTTCCAAGGGAAGAGCCTGGGGGTGGGGTGAGGGACCAACAGGAGCAGAGTCTCCCCTGTGCCCATGGCCATCCTGTCTGGGCCCCACCATGTGGAGGCCAGTGGCCATTCCTGACCCCCTCTCTTCTTTTTTTAAGATTTATTTGTTTAGGCCGGCGCCGTGGCTCAATAGGCTAATCCTCCACCTAGCGGCGCTGGCACACCGGGTTCTAGTCCCGGTCGGGGCGCCGGATTCTGTCCCGGTCGCCCCTCTTCCAGGCCAGCTCTCTGCTATGGCCAGGGAGTGCAGTGGAGGATGGCCCAGGTGCTTGGGCCCTGCACCCCATGGGAGACCAGGAAAAGCACCTGGATCCTGGCTCCTGCCATCGGATCAGCGCGGTGCGCCGGCTGCAGCGGCGGCCATTGGAGGGTGAACCAACGGCAAAGGAAGACCTTTCTCTCTGTCTCTCTCTCTCACTGTCCACTCTGCCTGTCAAAAAAAAAAAAAAAAAAAGATTTATTTGTTTATTTGAAAGTCAGAGTTACAGAGAGGTGGGTGGGGGTCTTCCATCTGCTGATTCACTCCCAGATGGCCATAACAGCTGGAAATGTGCTGATCCAAAGCCAGGAGCCAAGAGCTTCTTCCAGGTCTCCCACATGGTGCAGGGCCCCAAGCACTTGGGTCATCTTCTACTGCTTTCCCAGGCCATAGCAGAGAGTTGGATCAGAAGTGGCACAGCCGGGACTCGAACCAGTGCCCATATGGGATGCCGGCATGCAGGCAGTGGCTTTACCCATTTCACCACAGCGCCAGCTTCCTGACCCCCTCTCTTCTCCATTGCCCCTCCCCATCTCTCCTAGCTCAGATTCCTGCAGGGCTATCTGCTTTCTGCTGCTTGGACAACGGGATGCCTCAGGGGAGGAGGGTGGAGAAGAGAGAGTAGTTGTTGCTGTGCACTGGGGCTGTCCCGAAGCAGCATCTGCAGAGACCACTGAAGACTTCAAACTGCACCTGTGTGCACACCTGTGCTCACCTAGAGACCACAGGGCAGGTGCCTCCTCCCAGTATGCACCTGTGTGCTCACCTATGCTCATCTAGAGACCACAGGGCAGGTGCCTCCTCCCAGTATGCACCTGTGTGCTCACCTAGAGACCACAGGGCAGGTGCCTCCTCCTAGTATGCACCTGTGTGCTCACCTAGCGACCATAGGGCAGGTGCCTCCTCCCAGTATGCACCTGTGTGCTCACCTATGCTCACCTAGAGACCACAGGGCAGGTGCCTCCTCCCAGTATGCACCTGTGTGCTCACCTATGCTCATCTAGAGACCACAGGGCAGGTGCCTCCTCCCAGTATGCACCTGTGTGCTCACCTAGAGACCACAGGGCAGGTGCCTCCTCCCAGTATGCACCCATGTGCACACCTGTGCTCATCTAGAGACCACAGGGCAGGTGCCTCCTCCCAGTATGCACCCATGTGCACACCCTTCCCATTCCCCTCTTTCACCTTTGCAGGTGAGTAACATGTGGCTGGGACATAACGG